GTGGCGCAACCTCAATCGTGTCATGTCTGGAGTAGGGACGCTTCTGATCGGCGTCATCGTTGCGTTGGCCATCCTCGCATCGCGAATGTCATAAGTGACACCCACTTTTACACTCGGGCGAACCGATTCCACCACGATGTCGTCGCCGAACTTTTCCATTCACATCCGACATTTGCACGCTGTGCACTTGCATTACGAACCATTTTACGAACATAATCATGTCATCACGCAAGTGTTAATGTTTTTCTGGCTCCGTCACACGGCAGGTGCTTTCTCTTCGACATCTAATTGATCTCGTTTCGAGTACGTTGTCTTGTCTACGCACAGCCGCTGTTGTATATTTCTCGCATTTCGATTCTCCGCGCGTATCGTGTACGGCATGCTGCAGTTTAGCGGGCGTTCTCTTTTTGCTGCTTGTTCTAGTATGGCCGACAGCGTATTACCCATTTGCTTTGCAATATTTGGCCATGTCAGCCACTTCACAATATCACTATCTTCGTGTTCCATACTTGTTACTTGTCACCTGTCACATCGTCTTGGGAGTTTGAAATAAGACAAGGATGTCGTCGAGGTGGCTGGGAATCTGAAGCGTAGCGTCAACCGTGCGCTGCTCCTGGATAATATCGTCGCGGCTGGGGCTTGACGAACTATATGATCTTGTAATTATTATCATGCGTTCTACGTCAACTGTACGATGAGACGTCAATATAACGATTACCTTCTCTATTACATTGCGCCCCGGACTGATCATCGCAGGGTTGAAGTTACGAAAGTTGTGAGCTCCAGTATGGTCAGCCCACAGAGGACGGCAATGTCGTGACATATGTCAAGTGGAGCGTCGCACCGTGCGCTTGCTCATAGCGGATGCTCTGATCAAGCCTCGAACACTTTCATGGACTTGTGTCGCTTTTGATCAATGCTCCGAAAGTTTATCACCGAGCTTTGCGGTTGTTGCTAAGCGCAGTGTCGCGTTGCCATGAGGCTGCATGTTGCGAAATTGACGAGTGCACAGCCATGTATTGCAGATGTCAAGGACGGTGGCTTGCTTCACGATAATGGACGTGCGATCCCAGTAACACGTCCAAAGTACGCACGGTGACGGGTACGAGTCGCAGCACGTCGACAAGACGAACATGTCATCTCATCCGACGAACTCGCCAAGTGATGACTCTTCAGATTCACAGTCATAGCAGCACGAGCATGTAGATGCAGTGGCGAAGTTCGCAGTGGGACTTTGCTCATATGCAGGGTTCACTCAGGATGAGTCGAACTGCGCTAGCTCCGATTGGGTAGCGGGGCTTATGATGTCGCTCTTTACAAAATAGTCCCGCCTTCACAGTTTCTGCAGATTCACGACCAGCTTACCCACCGCGCACTAAATACCCTTGCCTTCTTTCTTCTAACCACCCCAAAGAGCCTCACAAAAAGATCCCAACGTCGATCCAACAATCATGGCTGTTCGCGCTCAGTTCGAAAGCTCCAACGAAGTCGGTGTCTTCTCCACACTCACAAATGCGTATGCGATTGTCGCAGTCGGCGCAAGCGAGAACTTTTACAGGTGCGCATAGCTCAATAGCTGTTCCCGGCTCGATGTAGTGCGGTAGCATGTTGTGCGACCATGGCGAGCATACACTGCGAAAAATATGTACTGACAGTGGCGCGACAGTGTCTTCGAAGCAGAACTCCAAGATGTCATCCCCATTTGCCACGCCACCATTGCTGGAACCAGAATCGTCGGCAGACTGACTGCTGGGTATGCATCCCGACTTGTGGCATCTTGCCATATTCAACCAATGCTACAGGAAAACACTCTAACACATTCCCAGTAACAAGAAAGGTCTCCTCGTTCCCACCACAACCACCGACCAAGAACTCCAGCATCTCCGAAACTCCATACCCGACGAAGTCAAGATTCAGAGAATAGAAGAACGATTATCAGCCCTTGGCAACGTGATATGTTGTAACGACCACGTTGCCCTCGTACACCCGGACATCGAACGCGAAACGGAGGAGATAATAGCTGATGTACTAGGCGTCGAGGTTTTCAGGCAGACTATCGCGGACAACGTGCTCACTGGTAGCTACATGGCTCTCAGCAATCAGGGTGGTATTGTGCACCCAAAGACAAGCATTCAGGACCAAGACGAGCTGTCGAGTTTGCTCCAAGTGCCGCTTGTGGCTGGTAGTGTAAACCGCGGTAGCGCGGTCGTGGGTGCGGGCATGGTCGTCAACGACTGGATGGCTGTTACTGGTATGTGCATACTGATTGAAGAACATCAAGGCCAAAGACTAATTGGAAAATTCAGGTCTCGATACTACAGCGACCGAGCTCTCCGTCGTCGAGTCCGTCTTCAGGCTCGGTGAGGGCAACGGTCCCGCCAACATCAACACCACCCACAAGGACGCCATGGTTGAATCTTTCTATTAGATTATGGTTCTTGGATAGGATTCCTTATTTCTACTCCACTTGCCATCAGTCGTGGTGGAATGCTGAAAGAATTACGATATCGTCCCGAACTACAAAGTGCTCGGAAGAAGCATTCGACGTGCAGGAACAGCGGGACATTGGATCATCTTGTTGCCGCGGCACGTTACAGGCTCGCCAATGTCGTTATGTTGGTATCCGAGGTATATGAGCAGCTGGGTTCCCTTATGAGAGGATAGTATGTGCGACGTGTGCACATCAATCAAAACAGATATGATGTGGAAAACAATGTTAAGAGTAGCGCTATGTTATATCTCCTGGAGTAATCTCATTCTGATCGTGTGCTAATATTTGAGGACTATTCGACTAAGCTAGTATCTTGTGTCACTGAAATGGGTAAGTATGCAGGTACCTTTCACCCACAATTAGCATGGCTGATAGGGCTGGAGGCGGTGGACACTTTCTGCCGACGCTAAGACATCATCGTTCACGAAAGTCACTTTGCGCCAACGCTCTTTCACCAACCCATGTGGGTGCCAAACACATACCGAAACTCTCTCTCCACCATTCAGCGACATTTCCATTCGCATAGTTCATTAGATCTATCGCATCTTCGGACAGAAACCTCCATTTGCCTCTTGAATCTCACCCCACCCCAACCGCATCATGTCAGACTCGACCGCGCTCACGAAGCGCAGTGCATCTAATGCGCTTATGCCGCCACCGCCCGCCCCCAAACGTATAAAACGCCCTTCGGTAGTCCTAGACGAAGATACCTATGTTTCCGCCGTTTCGCACATCATTCGCCGCGACTTCTTCCCAGGGTTAGCAGAAGCAGACGCACAACGCGAGTATCTCAACGCTGTGGAAAGCAAAGATCGGTCATGGATCAGAGAAGCCGGCAAGAAGCTCACACAGGTCATGACTCCTGTGCCGAGCGGACAAAGAAAGATGGCAGCGAGAACGAGGTTCGACAAGACAGGCGGAGCTGGTGACAAGACTCCAAGTGTATGGGGCGCAGACACACCTGTTACACTCGCTGGGACGGAAATTGAAGACGACGAGGAAGGCCTGGGCAAACTAGATAATGTCGACCTAAACATGAGCTTAGGCGCATTCCAAGCAAAATACACGAGCGAAGACCAGGAGAGTTTCAGCCAAATCATCGACAAGCAGAATAAGACAAAATTTGACAAGAACATCTGGCTACGGGAAGGCAACATGTATGCGAGCAAGCAGCGCGTAGCACAACAGAAGGTCATCGAAGCTAGAGCCGCTGCGTCTGGAGGCAAGGACATGATACTCAGCACACGACCAAGCCAGAACCTCGATGATCGACCGGCAGCGCCCACAGGACACCGACATACTGCCCGAAACAGCCTCATGTTCGGTCCTGACAGCGTAGAACAATGGGCACCGACTCGCGCGCAACAAGCCGAAAACACCTCCCTCGCGCCTCCAAAGAAAGTCCTCTACAACAATACTCGCCTCCCCGCTCCCGAAGCAGACCCTCCTCGTCCACCCAGTCCCACACTTTCAGCCGTCCGTGATGCTGTTGCAGGACGTCCGCGTCTCAATCCCAGCGAAGGAGGTTACACTGGGAGCGAAACACCCCGAGTGAACGGCTACGCTTTCGTCGACGCGCAACCCCCTTCTCCCTCTGACGATGACGACGACGATGCACCCACCGACCTCCTAGAACGTTACGGTCTAGGTAGTAGTGACAAAGCCACACCATTCACAATCAACGACTCGTCGTCGCGCGAGAAGATGCATCACAAAATGGTCGAGCAGATTGGTGCTAAACGATCGAACACTGACAAGCAAGCGAAGCCAACAGGCTCGGGCTTGGGAATATTCACAAGTGAGACGCCGAGATTCTTAAGCGCGCCGACGCCAAGGAGAGGACCTGCTATTGGCGGCATGACACCAGGAAGGAAAGCGAAAGGAGATTTGACGCCCGCCGCTCAGAGGCTATTTGAGAGAATGGGCAAAGCGACACCAAGGGGTGGAGGCAGTGCTGGGTTTGGTGGGGATAGAAAGGGGGGATCTGGGTTAGGACGGGATTGGACGCCTACGCCTAGAGTCAAGAGGAGAGCATAGAAGGTGTGAGTGGGTGGGATAAGAAGAAAGAGGTTTGTGCGAAGTGCTCGTGCAAATGTTGTGTTTTGGTTATATTGGAGCGGAGCAGCAATAGCAATAGTGATACCCAACTTCTATACTTGATAATCCTTTACGCAATCTTTAAACATATTCTTCGTTTCATTAGCGACTAAACAGCAGGTATCACACATTACCATGGCAATCTCCACGGCAACAAGACTTATGGACATCATCAGAACATGGATATCAATAAAAGTTCTACCTAAAAAAAAACCCTCCACGCGAAACCTGCGCGGCCGCCCAGGGTATCCGGAATGAAGTAATGCTATAGAACTGCGCAAGAAACCAACAATGCAGTTAACCAAAAGAACCCGCTTTATGCAACCACCCTGTACAAAGAAAATCATCGGATAACGACGGCAGAACCATTCATAATGTACAATTACCATTCTCGTTGCAATCAGAGATGTGTTTAATTGCCCCTCCTCCGTTGCTCTCCCGGCCCCTGATAGCTCCTGAACTGTGTTCCAGGGGCGTGGTAGCTCCTATACTGCCGCCTAGGTCTTGATTGTGGATCAGACGAACGTTCACCGTTGTTTTGAGGCTGCCCTTCACGCTGTTCGTAGTGCATCGGTAAAGTATGGGGATGCGTCGGGGAGTAGGCTTGTTGTTGAGAAGGGGGAGGACCCTGTTGTGGTGGTCCTGACTGCCCGATGTAGGGTAGAGGCGGTGGCCCGCTTTGTGGCGGAGGCGCCATATTTGCGGGAAGTATTGGTTGACCCCCGTACTGGTGGATCTTGAGTGGTTGGTATGAGCCTGTGCTCGATGATGGAGGGGGAGGTGCTTGAAAGGATCCTGGTGGTGGTATGTAGCCACCTTGGTATGACGGTGCACCGCCGTATGGTTGTGGGTACGGTGGCGGCGGCGGCCCTTGAGGCGGGTGCGACGTTGGTGGGTAGCTTGGTGATTGCGGTGGATATGGCTGGCGAGGCGGTGCAGGATCATAATGTGCGAAGCGGTAGTTGATGGGAGGTGCGGATGGCAATGGCCCAGGAGGCTTTGGCGGAAGTGGCAATGCTCCTGCGGGTGGAGCATATGGGCTCTGATGTGTCGGTGGAGTCCGGCCTGACTTGTTCTGTTCCCCATAATGAGGCTGTGAAGCATGACCTTGGTATGGCGATGATGCGGACTGTTGAGACACCTGATGACCACTCATCCGTCTATCATGTTCCCATTGCTGGGGGGGTTGTTCGTTGGATTGTCGACGGGCTGCAAACATGCCTGACAAACCATCGTACAGGCCCGTTGATGGCCTTGTTGGATCGTATGCCGCGACTTCAGCTCGTTCTTGTGTATTTGAGGATTGAGTAGTTGCTCTATACCAGGCAGGCGGCCCCTGTCTATAGTGGGAACGATCGGGAGGTTCTCGACCAAGCTCGCGTGCCTTCCTGTCCAGAAGTTCCCTAATCTTTTGTAAAGGATCCCGACGACGCAACGACTCTTCGGGCTCGCGTGTCTGTGGTGGAACACTTGATTGTTGCTGTTGTTGTGATGGGGGCGGAGGAGGTTGTTGTTGCCAAGATTGAGTATTTGATGGTGGGGAAGATGGTGGGTTGCTTTGAGGCGGGCCACTCAACGCATCCATCAATGCCTGATCTATAGGCGGCTCTTCCTTGTTCATCACAGCGTCTACCCTAAGCGCGTCGCTCCTGGATGGTGTCCGACGATGAGTAGAAGCTTCTCGCATTGATGGTGTACTCGGCTCTCGAGCTGGGGGCAGAGACTCCCTGTTCCTAGAGACAGGGACCTCCTGATCATCGTTGAGGATGTCCATGATTCTATGTGTTGATAACCTTGGTGTTGATTTCGCCGGAACTTCAGTTTCTTTCGCCGAAGCCGTGGCGCTAGCTTCAGAAAGAGGGCCACTTTGAGTCAGATCTACTGCAGCTTGGGTGCTCTTAGGAGGACTGCTATGCGCAGCTTGAGACGGCAATCCCAACGGTACCGCTGGCTGTGCGAACTCAGGGGATTTTTCTCGTGCAGGCTCCTGTTTTATGATAGGCGTTGTCGCTCGTGGAGGCGGTGGCGGCTGTTGGCGCGGGTCTGGGTAGTGGTACTGAGGCTTTGGCACGACCGTGGTGCGCGGCTGATGTGCTGATACGTCAGCAAGCATCATGAGCAGAGCGGCATGCTCGTTCGAAATAATTTCGGCCTTGGGTGGTTCTGGTTGTGGTGTTGGCGTCCTTTCAACTTCAACGGCGGCATCAGCGAGACTGGTGATGTTATAATGTGCGATCGCTTCTGTGCGATCTGGTCCGTCAAACTTTGCAAAGCCACCAGCAACGTCGTCGATAGAATCATCAGCCTCTTCATCGTTCTCGACAAAAGCGACACGTGCTGCGGTGAACTGTCGCCGCACGGAATCGTTCTTGAGCTCCTTGTCTGCCTCAACGTAAGCTCTGCTACGTGAGGCAAACTTCGAGCCGATGCGATAATCATCAGCATGAATAGGTTCGTCACTGAAAGTAGGCGGAAGAATGTTGTCTTCATCGTCTGTGGCGTCGGCCTCCTGGCCCTTCATCTCCCGTTCGAGTTGCTTGGCGCGGTAGAATATTTGAAGCATAAAGTCATCTTGTAGCTCTCGAAATCTGTTGACATACTGCTCGCGCTGGATATGCTCCTCAGCAATGCGCACTCGTTCCAATTCTTCGAGGCGATATGTGCGCATAGCATTGACTTGGTCCAGACGAGCGTCGCGGCGTTGGTCCAGCTGGGCCATAACAGCATCGTACTCGGGACATTTTTTGTGGTATCGAGGATCGTCCTCAAGATTCTTCGTCGTGCGATTCGCCAACTCTTCTAGCAAGACCTTCTGAACCTTTGCAAGACTGCGGTAACTCATCTTGAGATTGAGTTGTCGACGCAAATCAGTCTCCACATTGATGTCCGGATGCGGTTGGCGCCGACGACCGGGCAAACGCCTGCCGGACTTTGCAGGGGCATCGCCATTGGTCGGCAGAACGTTCTGAAGGCTTTGATGGCCGTCAACATCTGGAACCTGCTCAGGTGAATTGGGTGCTGTGCTAGCATCTGTTAATTCAGGAGGTTGGTCGGCGGCGGTGTCTGCTGCTGTTTCTTTTGTTTTGCGCTTTTTGCGCGGTTGTTGTTCGGAGACATCGCTTTGGTTTCGGGTTAGAACTCCGTTTGGACGTGTTTTGCTGGACTGTGTTGAGTCGTCTGATGCGCGTCTCTTCTTGCCAGCCGCTTTTGGTGCCGTTGAAGTCGCATCAGATGAGGGCTTCTGTGGCTCTGGAGTTTGCGTGCCATTCATGGGTGTGTTGTTGTCGTAAGAGCCATTAGATCTCTGCTGCGAACCAGAATCGGACGATGTTCGGCTGCGCTTGGCTGGTCGCGCATCCTCATGGTCGGGAGTTGCATCCTCGTTTTGCGCAATCTCATTCAGAGAACTGCGACGACTGCCAGAGCTTGCGCTAGATGGCCCAGCCGAGCTCGTGTGGTTAGACGTGCCTTTTGCACCGCGACGCGTTGTCATTTGGAACGGTACTGAAGGAGCAAGGCGAGATGTCTTCGAACCCTGAAGACTACTTCGCTTATTAGACAATGCGCTAGCGGCTATGCCAAGGTTAGCATAACCCTTTAGGGAGCATACAAAAGCAGTCGTAGGCTTGCGGACTTACGCGGCGTCTTGAGAGGGGTGTTGGAAATGGCCTTTGTGCCTTTGAACTTTCGTTTCGGCGGCATGTTGTTGGGTGAGACCCGTAGGTAGAGACCTGACAAGCCAGCCATTAGCTTAGAATCATGACATGACGGAGGGCAGCAAAAGCTGGAGCTAGCTTTCGAGTAGAGCACTCCGTACTTACAGACCCAAGATGTGATGTCCAGTCAGTATTTGATATTGTCACTCCCTGGTGTGGTAGGTAGAGCGATGATTGAGCTGTCAGCAAGACGTGTCAGCACACAGTCGAAGTAGTATCGGGAACAGACAACGCCCGAATAACTCCATCGCGTTTTGTGCTAGTTTAGTCGTAGACTTGTGGTATTCGTGCTGTAGTTTTGCGCGAGCTGAGTGGCGGATGTGAAGTACTTACTATGACAAGTCGCCTCAGTGAGTACAGTGACTTGCTTGACAATGTGACGCAAAGTCTAAATCAACGAGTCACAAATTCATGAACTGCTTTCGGGGCAATCCAGAGTTGTGTCGATATGTTTTCAACGCGGTTTGCCTGTCGGAAACGAAGTTGTGGGTGCTCGCAAGAGAGAAATAACCCTGCAGAAGGAATGCTCCGTGTGGCACAGTCGAGCAGAGGTGTCGGAAGGGACAGATGCTCAGATATATCAGGGCAATAAGATGTCAAAGAGATCGCACTTGTAGCGTAAGCTCCAGAGACTGTCGAGGGTGTTGGAAATCGCGTTCCTTCGGCGCATGAAGATGAAGCTCTTGTGAGATCCTTGGTCAGGCTTCGCGCCTTGCCGGATTGGGATCTGAGTCCACGAATGACAGCGCTCTTCACCTGCAACAATCGCAGCGAGGTATCGTACAGTAGGACCTGAACATCTACGCAGTTGCTAGGCGGCTTGGGTTGAAGCTCTACAGTAATTACTACGGCTACTAGCCTGTATTGACGGCGCTGTTGGTTCTGCGCCTTAGGCCTTCTGATGCAGCACACCAACCGAAGACGGCAATGACCCAGACACCCAGATTACGTGCATCGCTCATATGGACCTCTCCCGCCGCCACCGTGTCTCGCACTACAAATCATCGCGTTTGTCCTGTTGTCCTTGCCATCATAGTATCTTAATCTCTTCGAAGCATTCGGCGCACCTTCTCGAAGCTTTTCAAGTTGCTTCATCCAGGTTTCACGTCGCACGTCATTAGCCGCAGCGCTAGACGGGACGATCCTCCCGAATCGTCACCATCGCCCCTGCCCCCTTCACCCAAGGGTTGTAACGCAAAAACGAACATTACAAGTACTTGACGTAGAAAAAAAAAGGTCATGCTCTCGCATTCTGTGACAATGTTCTCTAGCCGATACGTAGTCTGTTCTGAAGGAAGCGGCGCAGCGTGCATTCATCGAGCGCCTTGCAGCGCATCACACGTAAATAGGTCTTCAGGAGGCAAAGGGTTTCTAGAACAACTTTTGTCGACGAGCTGTTCTGGACCTGGCTTGTTGTTATGTTCTCTTTGCGAAGAATACCATAATATTTATGCGATTGACCCTGCCATGCAGCATACGTTGCTCATACCGCATACCATGTACAACGGTGCGATGGAGTGGACGAATGAATAGGCGGCAGGTAACGTCGAAAGCGCCACAGGACAGGCGAGAGCAGTTGAACACGCCACAGGTTGTTTGATCGTTATCCGAACATCAGGAAAACCCGTGCGCTTCCTTCGATTAACATTGGTAACAACTGCTACCACGTCTTCTTGCGCACAACGCTTATTAATTCCATTCTTTCCTGTGGAAGTGCTATAATCTTACTGCCAGTATGGTGCCGCCATTTCCTAATGATGACATACAGTCAAGAAGCACGCCACTCCAAGAGCTATCTAACAGAAAATACCGAGTGTAAGGATACTTGTTGGACAAGATAGAATTTGACCACCTAGTTAGACCCTGTGGTCTTTGCCCACCTGCTTACATCCAATAGTCCCACAACCCAGTAAACCGTATGTGTACCGCAAGAAAAGATTTTCAACATCGAACATGCTCTCATCGATACGACACCACACATTCACTCCGCTCCCGCAATTACTCATCAACCATCCTCGTTACTTGGGCAATAAAGACACCCGTGCGCCTGGTATCATATCCGCAAAACCCGGCGTGCACATGGCACTCAGGGCAATCGCGCCCGAATTCGTCATCATTCATCTCCCCACACGCTCGCCATCAACGGTCGTCCAGTAGGTTTGCAAATGAAGCACGTATTCGGGCCCTTTTGACGGCGATGTGAAGCGGGGATCTCCCACGTTGTTGTTGTTCGCTTCCTAAAGACACACCATGTGGGGCTGGCAAATAGCTTTCCCCTGGCATGATGCATGTTATTACATCAACTGGCGTTGGCGTCAGTCATGTAGCGCCATCGCGATAGGGAACCGTTGAAATCGAGGCTGAAAGCTTTTGTGAAGTAGGTTCTAAAGGGTCTGAAGGTTTGGAAGATTCTGCAGACGGAGAGGAAGAAAACGATAGTTCGCGTACGAAAGTGGGAGGGGTTAAAGTTCATGTCCATTCAATTGAGAATTTTTGTGTTGTTTTGGGTATAACGCCTTGCCTTGCGGCTTATTTTGTCTCTTCCGTTCTTATCCGATCCGGGTTTCCTTTCTTTGTGATACGCCACCAATTGACTAGCAAAAAAGTAAGATGCTAAATGCGATGAAATATTTCGTCCGCTCAAACAGCCCTATATGCTGGAGCCCAGACCTAATGAAGTTGCGATGCGAGAACGCTCAACGCTCGATCAAACCCCCGTGAGGGCGAGAGCCAGTGACAGAAGGGAATATGTAACATGAAGGAAACACCAAAGGTATGAACAGCTAGGAAAATCGTATCGTACAAACGTGTAGAGACATTACATCTTGCACATAACGTGGATGAAATCAAGGAAATAACGTTAGATCAATCATCGATCTGGAGAGTATTGCAAGGCGACTCGACGGGAGCCGCTCATGCTGCTTCGTGGAGAGGAGTTGAGCACGAAGTCAGGAATCGGAGGTGTCATTGCCCGACTAGGAGGAGATGGACTCCTAGACTTGGACTGCATGCTTGCCGCACGTTCGCGAGTGAAGCTTCTGGCCTGATGAAGAGAGGGAGGGCCTACTGCAGTTTGGCTGAGGTTACTGCTCGACCTCATCCGGTTAAATGAGCGTGGAGGGCATGCGATGGCTTGGTTTGAGTATGGGCTGGCCATAATGCTGGTACCAGGCGTTGCTGCAGGAGGTGGCAGACCAGACGGACTTTCTGACCTGAATAGTGGATGAATATGAGCCTCGCTGCATGCCGGACTAGGAGGACGCGAAATGTCTGGCATCATCCTGGGAGGTGGGGCCAAGTCTTCATCCTCCTCCTCTGGAAGCTCTGAAAGGAATGGACCGTCCAATGCACGCGCAGGCGAATTCGGGCGACTGCCGGGAATTGGCTCCAAAGTCGTGCCTCTTGATGGTGCTGCTTGCAGAACGACATCGCGTGCTGGAAGACTCACGCTGCTTGTGTCCCAACTATCGAAACCATCTGAATGGGAGACGGTATCGATTGACTGCCGATTCGAATGAATGCTGACTGGGGCGTCTTTGGTGAAGGACTTCTGGCTGATGAGAGTGGTACGCGATGTGACTGGACGGACTACGTGACGAAGAGAATCTCTGAAAGATTTGAGTGACTGTGATGAGCGAGTGGAGAAGGTAGGAGAGGGCAAGGCTCCTAGAATCTCAGGTTGCTGGTGAGCGGCCAAAGGGGACGAAGGTTGGACTGGCTCTGCGAAGTGGAGATTGTTTGGGCGTGAAGTTCGCAGCTCACTCATGACTGAGTCACGAGGACCTGATGTGACGACGGTCTGCACTTTAGGTGTCTTGCGGTTCCACAGGGACGAAGTGTAGAGGATAATCTGACTGGAGCAGGAGATGGCCCAGGCTGCTATTTGACCTGAGACATGGCTGTCCCAGTCTGAGACTGGTCCACTGAGGGGGCCAGCAGTAACTTCTGCCCATCTTGACTTGATCATGATGATCAGGATGAGGGAAAGTACCAGCGCAGCGCCTGATACAAGGACGCTGGTGGCTACAAGAGCCTTTCTTGCCCGACCTGATCGTTCTAGAGCTCCGCGGACATCTCCTACATTGTGGAACATGTAGAAGCCAATGCAGCAGAGAGAGACAACGTCGACCGTGCCTGCCACAGCAGCAATGTTGACGAGGGACGATTGAGCCGAAGAAAACGATGCTGCCTCCAGAATAGACAAGATTGAGTCTGCAGCCGTGCTTGACCATGCAACAACGCCGACGAGAGAAAGGTAAAATTTGCGAGACTGTAACATGATGAAAGGATTGCGTGAGGTTGTTGGCCAGCTCAAACCCCAGCCTGAGTGCTGTTTGGTGGAAAGGCGACAGTCAGCCCGGAGAACCTCAAGGTATCGATGAGACAGCAGCAGTATAGTCGTATTATAGTACCAGGGGTTTCCAGGGGGTACTGTCGATAATTGGTTTTGGTTGACTGACACCAAAGAGGATGCTGCAGAGAAGTGGGTGAACTATCGGTTGAAATGCAAGATGGAGCCCCCAGTGTTGTTGCTGTGGAGAGGCGCGAAACCGGATACGCGCGAGACGAACGCGTTGCAGGAAATAATGCGGCTGTATAGCTGCAGCTACTATAGTCGAGCAAGCCGTTACGGGGCGTGGCTGATGCGGGTCTAGGCCGGATATAGTATGTACGTTATGGCTGGCCGATCTTCGGTAGGCGACTAAGGATTACGACGGGTTTTGGGAAGCGAGCGTTGGAGGATGACGACCAACGACTGGTTGACGAGCGATGCAGTGACGAAAAAGGGACAGGACGGCGGCGTGAAGAGGGGAGAGCATGTGGGGAGGGACGAGAAGTAATAATAAATTTAGAAGAAGTCGAGAGGGCTGATGTGTGCCCATTGTTTCGTGGACTGGCCTGCAACACGCGTAGGACAAACGGGGAAACCCCTACTAGTACGCTGGGATGCACGCAAGCATCTATCCAGCATGGCGCTGCACGACCTTGAGGCATGGTTACCGAGTCCTCAGGCATGGCCATGCGACATTGGCACAACAGAATGCAGTAGCTTGGCCGCAGAGCTGAGAGTATAATGGCATGCCTATGAATCAGTTTGCTGGCACTGGTGCCGGATGCACTGGAATCTGATGCAAAAGAAGAAAAACGGTTTGTCTTTTCGAAACACGAGCAGAGGCAGCCAATGGCAGGCCTGACCGGCTCAGGCGTCGAGAGCCGGAAACAGTTCAAGGGCCTACCTGTCAAAGTTTAAGGTGTGGAGCTGCGGTAAGTTTAGCCCTTCATTTCCTTACGCGTTGTTTTGGCTATGCGTTCGGCAGACACAACAAACAACCCTACGAAATGGCGTTCGGACAATTTCCAGGACTGATGAGCTGTGGAGCCTCGCTCGATCTGCCATGTAAGCGCTGGAGGAGTCATTACGGAGGTGCGACCGACGATAGTCCCCTTCTGCAGCGCGGAGGTCACAGCATATCCATAGGCGGCAGTCATACAGTCGGCGTGTCGTAGCCAGAGTTTGCCATGGCGGTGAAACGGTTGCCCTCGCCTCATAATTGGCGACTCATGGGCGGCGATTGAAACAAAGGGCCGATCAGATGTGCTGCAGATGGCTGGGCGACGACGATGACAGCAACCTTGTCAGGTTTTTGGAGTTGTTGGTGCGCGGCATCTGGAAGCGTGCCGTGTGTCGATGGATGTCAGCCCACTAGGCCGGGGAGGAGATGAAGCTGCGGCTGGGCGATCTACTGTTGCGTCACTGGCCGTGTTCTGGCCGTTGGGGGCCCTGCAATGGATTCGCGAGCCCTGAGCTGGATGTCAGCATTCGTTACAAAAAGCAAAAGTCCCGTGACCGTGGTGGGTGTGTGGGTGGGTACGTCAATACCGAGGTATAGGCGTAGGGGTCTTCGCGTTCGCTTTAGCACTGAGCTGCGTCCTGTCAATCGATGGATCGATGCGTGCCTGGAGCCTGTAATGCGCCACACGTCTGTGGCGGCAGAGTGTGGCGGGTGAGATGGCGATGTGGTTGACGACAGAGATTCTGCCTAACTCAACACTAACGGACTTTGTTTCCACAGTCTTCTGAGCAAACGAACCACGCTTTGTAAGAATAAAAAGACGACAGTTGTCTCGGCTTTCTATCACTTGCTGCAAGCTTCCCTCACTACTCAGGTACTACTAAACCCCGCCAAGAAGTGGAAGTGCCTCATCATCCCCACTACCTCATCTTGAACATCAACACCCCACCCGACACAGCTCCATCTTCGACCACGCACGCAGCAACCGCCAAGATGAAGATCACATTCAAGGTATGTCCTTTGCTGCACTTCCGGCCGCTACGGAGCCACAGCTGACCACTCCGCAGGACCTCAAGCAGAACAAGTTCGTCATCGAGGCCGAGCCTTCGGAAACGGTGCGCAGACCCGCCACATGTCGAAATTTATCGCAACCACATGCTAATACACGCACTAGATTGGCGCCCTCAAGTCCAAGATCCAGGCAGAGAAAGGCTGGGAAGTTCCCCAGCAGAAGCTCATCTACTCTGGTAAGCTTGCAGCCGCACCCGGCGAGGTGGCATGGCAGCTACAGTCCAGTCGCTGACACAAGACAACAGGCAAGATCCTGCAAGATGCCAACACGGTCGAGTCGTATAACATTGAGGAGAAGGGCTTCATCGTCTGCATGGTCTCTAAGCCAAAGGCCGCTGCATCGACAAGTAGAGCAGCGCCTTCCACACCTGCCCCAGCAGCAGCCCAGACGCCTGTAGCTCCGGCCGCACCAGCGCCTTCATCCAGCACACAGAACGCCCCTGCTACACCATCACCAGCACCGGCCCAGGCGTCCGGCGAACGCTTCAATGACCCCTCGGCTCTGACTATGGGTGGAGAGCGCGAGGCCGCCATTGCAAACATGGAGAGCATGGGTTTCGCAAGGGCTGACATCGACCGGGCCATGCGCGCCGCCTTCTTCAACCCCGACCGCGCGGTTGAGTATCTTCTGACGGTAGGACAAGCGACGCTCCTGCCATTCAGACACGTTCTAACGTCCTTCTAGGGTATTCCCGAGAGTGCGCTCCAGGAGCAGGCACAACAAGCACAAGCTCGTGCCCCAACCTCGCCCACCCCCCTTCAAGGCAACACAGATGCGCCCGCACCCACCGGGAACGCACCTTCCGGAGGTGATGAGCCGATGAACCTGTTCGAAGCCGCTGCCCAGGCCGCCCAAAATCGCGGAGGTGCTGGCGGTGCTCGCTCAGGTGGTACTGGAGGCGGTGCTGCGGCCGGTGCGCTCAACGCCAACTCTCTCGACTTCTTGCGCAACAATCCGCAGTTCCAGCAGTTACGACAGGTTGTACAACAGCAGCCACAAATGCTTGAGCCTATTCTACAGCAGGTTGGCGCAGGTAACCCTCAGTTGGCGTCGATGATCGCAAACAACCCCGAGCAGTTCCTGCAGCTCCTCGCAGAGGACGCAGACGAAGATGCGCCACTGCCACCCGGTGCCCAGGCCATCTCTGTGACCGAGGAGGAGCGCGAGGCTATTGAGCGCTTGTGTCGCCTTGGCTTTGAGCGGGATCTCGTTATCCAGGCCTATTTTGCATGCGACAAGAATGAGGAGCTGGCCGCAAACTTCCTCTTCGACCAGCCCGACGATGCGGACGATCAGTAGAGGCCTTCGAGCTCTGTGCCATCACTGTGCGACCCTACCATACCCGATATTGACATTCGTCCGTCTGATATCACCGTTACAATCGCACGACAAATATCCCCGAAAATTGGACGATATTATCTCGAGTCCATTCCCATTACACGGCTAAGTGCAGTACTTGGGATGCGGAAAGGAATCTCCGACCAATCCTACTGATTTCTATGACGATACATGATACCTTCCGCATGCGGCACGGCTAGGAGCTGCAACTGCTGATTCTCTGGGTAGTTCGAGGACCAGCATGCGCTTGCCAGGCTGAGTAATAGTTCATCAATAAATCATCCCATTTCCAGTATTGAATTGCAATGTGTAACAATACCAAGCTGACATGACTTCCTGACAATCGCTGCTTACCTCTAGCCCGTGACGTATCGGTATCGCAGTTGTGGTAATTTTACGCGAAATCCTATAGTTGACCCAAGTGGCAGCAAGGGAAAAAGCACGTCCTCGTTGTCTCACTCAGCCTCCTTTGAAAAACAAAGCAAAGGTCGCGTATCTCATGATCCTGCCCTGACCCTACGTTCACATCTCCTTTTTCCGTTTCCAAACGGACAGGCCTTTATTTTTATCCAAGACCCCAGGCGGCCCGCTCCCTCCCTGAGTCCCGCTCCCTGGTGCTGGGTCTTCTTTTTTGATTCCATGTCGTTCTTATCTAGGCTGATCTTCTCGTATTACGTATCTTCTTTCCTTTGTTCGACCCTGAATAAGTGGATAGGTAAGTTTCAACGAGTCTTGTGGTGTGAGTTGTGCTGCGATGGTGATATCAGGGGCTATTGCGAATGTTCGATGACAGCAATCTCGAATGATGTCGCACGCAACGAATGAATAGTAGAGAAGAACATTTGCGCTCGAAAAGGATCAAGTTGGTAAAGCAGTGGTATACAAGTAGACTAGCTAGAGAAAACATCATGCTTCCACAGCAGCAGCCTTCCTCTTGCGACTCCTCTTCTTCTTTTTCTTCTCGCCTTCGACAATGTTGCCGTCCTTGCCATTATCACGCCCAGAGGGAGCAGCAGCCTCTTCTTCGCCGACCAGAGCCTCAAACCCACCCTTGGGTCCGTCCGGATCGCCGAACGTGTCTTGTCTCCATTGCCTGATACGCGCCTTCTTACTGAGGAACTTCTTATCCTTTTTCTTCTTAACGGGATCTCTGAACGCTGCTAGTTTCTTCAGTCCAGCAAACTCGTTCAGCGCCTTGTCATCTGCGAGCAAAATGTCGCGCGCAGTCAGACCGAAACTCGTGGGGGACGTTTCGCGATAGCGGAAGCGGGAGGCGGCCTTGGAGGGCTTGGAAGCAAGTGCTGCCTCGTATTCAAGGTTTTGGTTGACGAGGTTTTCTATTAGGCGGCGATCGCGACGGGCGGTGGATTTGGCTTCTGCACGTTCTTGTTTCCGCTGCTTAGAGGACTTCTTGGATGATGCACCAGCCTCTGCTTCTTCTTGTTCTTCGTCGCCGTCCTCTGCTCCGGCATCGGGCATGTCGTCGTCTGATGAAAGGTCGGGTCGCTCTTCGTCAGAGTCATCCTTGAAGTCAGGGACGAGATCTTTGATGTCGATATCATCGTCAAACTTGGGCTTCTTAGGCTTCTTGCTCTTTTTGCCGCCATCTTCCTCGTCTTCGGCGCCAGCCTCGCCGTAATATGCATCGCCAAAGCGCTTCTGCATCTCAGCATCCCATTGCTCGTCTGACCAGTCGGCTTCCAACACATCCTTCCACTCCTCTATCTTGAAATCCCTGCCGCTGAGACCTCCGATCTGGCGAATTTGCTTGACCTTGTTCTCCATGTCTTCGACCTTGAGCTTCCGGAGACGTGCAAGGTCTTGCTCCTTCTCTCTCTTTTCGGCTTCTCTCTTTGCCCTGGCCATTTCACGAGCCTTCTTCCGACCGGTCTTATCATCTCGGCGGACTGTAGTGCTTGCAACGGCATCACGCGCGTAGGTCATGATTTTCTCATTTGCGCCAGTTGTGTCCTCAAAGTATAGGTTGTATGAGTTCTCCCATTCATCGGCAGCAGCGTCTTCTTCTTCGTCGTCGGACATGAGGGGTTGGAAGCGGGCAGATTGTGTAGGCACCCAAGCGCGAGATGCCATGAAATTGGACAAGAACGTCTCGGGGTCTTGGTCAGCTTTCTCGACATCTTCGGCAGTGATCTTGACTCGGTCGTTCTTGGACTTCTCTGGTTTCTGTTTCGCGACGATAAAGTCATCATCTTCTTCCTCATCTGCATCCTTGAGCGCCTTGACGAGATCCTGCCTAGCATCCTCCTGTTCCTGTGCGTATGTCTTGGGCGGCGCATCCTCGTCCTCGTCTTCAACTGTGAACTTTCCCTCAAGTAGATTCTTGGTATGGTAGTCTCGTAGCGTCATTGACGGCTCCTTGTTCTTTGCATCTGCGTCATTTTGGCCGTCCTCGAGTTCCTTGTAGAATTTGGCTTCCTTGTTGTAGATGCGAGGATCTTTTGCGCGCAAAGCCTGGAGAGTAGCATTGACCTGTTGGTCTAGTTCCTCATCGAGCAGTTCGGCTGCATCATCCTCTTCCACGCCTTCTTCAGAGTCTTCGGATTCGTCGCCGCCGTTTTCGAACGCTTTGTCCTTGCCGTACTTTTCCTCTACTGCTTTGAGTTAGTAGCTGCAAATGACTCGACACGGAATACGCGTACGTCGGAATTTCTCCGCCTGCTTCTTGTTGTGCTCGTATTTGCGAGCGTATTCCTCGTTAACCTTGAGCGACACTCCGCCATGATCGCTGTCGGAGCCCTCGTCGTCGGTGTTGTCGAGCAACTTGGCCTTCTTGGTGGGCGGCTCGCTCGTCGCATTCAGCTCGCGTTTGACGCCGTTGGTGCGCTTCTTGTCCTTGGTGCCTGCCATGGCGGATGTTGAGGTGGTTGTTGGACTGGCTTGCGCCGGATGGTCACAAAATTTTGGTGGAGTCGGCGCTAGCGCATGAACCCTGACGTTCGCCGCGGCAGTGACGATGGACCCGCCGCAACCCCAATCGAGCGGTATGTGAGGGAGGAGAAGCGTCAACACGCGACACGCTCGAGTGCGCCTTCCACCATGTATCATAGCTCCCTTATCTAGTCTTGTTCAACTTCCTTGCGCGATACCCATTTCCATAGCGTTTCTCCACGAGCAGCCGGCAGCATGGCGGAAGAGAAGCCGCCGCAGCTCAGCATAGAGCCGGTATCCAGACCGCTGGATCTGATGTTTGTCCAGGTGACTTGAGCTGGAGAGACAGACACGCTGACCAAGATACCCAGACCAGTCGTAATCAAAGAAGCCGCCCTCGATTCACCTACGTTCCGCGCAACCGCTGTCCACTACGGCGACCAGATTGAACTGATAGAACGATGGCTCACCTCGTTCGTCACGGCAACGTCGAAGCTTACCGCCGAATGCAACAATATGCAGGCACTCGTAGACACGTACATACAAGCCTCGCATCCCCCATTACAGCTCTCCGAAGCCGTCGTCGACCACGATTACACCGTCCTAGCCCTGAAGCGATTCGGAGAGGGCGCACGCGAGTTCTGGAATGGCACACTGCGCAGCATGAAGAGGGCTGAGCAGACCATGTGCGAGCCCATGAGAGCATTTGTGTCCAACGACTTGCGCATGCTGAAGGAGGCGCGGAAGAACCTCGACTCAACACAGCGCACATTCGATGGAGCCATTGCCCGTTATGCCGGCCAAGTCAAGACAAAGGAGGCGTCATCGCTGAGAGAAGATGCCTTCCAGTTGCATGAGGCGCGACGGGCATACCTCCAAGCCAGCATGAACTTCTGCGTCATGGCTCCCCAGGTGCGACTGACACTGGACAAGATACTGGTCAAGGTCGTCAACGAGCAATGGAAAGACATGAAGGCCGCAACAGAGGCTTCAAGTAAAGGCTTCAGCGCGTGGACTTCAGACGTCGAGCGTGTACGAGGCTGGAGTAAGGAAATGGAGAACGGCGAGCGTGTCTTCAAGAGAGAGCTGCATCTAGCACGGCAGCAGATCGAGGGTGCAGCCGAAGTCAGTGCAAGGCCTTCACGAGACTTGGATACATATGCAGCTTCGACCGTCCCCTATCTTGGCACCGCGCCTTCGTCCGCAAACCTACAATCTCCAGCAAAGCCTGAGTTTGGCATCGAGAAGGCAGAGAAACAAGGCTGGCTGTTCCAGCGCACAATCACTGGCAAGCCCGCCAGGACCTATTGGGTCAGACGTTGGTTCTTCGTCAAGAATGGCATTTTCGGCTGGCTCACGCAGGGAACGCGCTCCGGTGCGGTTGAAGAGTCAGAGAAGATTGGTGTGCTGCTATGCGGCATCCGACCAGCCTTTGCCGAGGAGCGACGCTTCTGCTTCGAGGTCAAAACGAAAGACACTACCATCCTTCTCCAAGCCGAGACCCAGAACGACATCACCGAGTGGATCTCCTCCTTTGAGGTTGCCAAGCGCAAAGCCCTTGAAGATACATCCAAGGATCTGTCAGGTGCTGCATCCGTTGACGCTGCTTTCTCCATAAGCCCTCCAATAGCTCCCGAGTTTGCCGCAAAGACCTCCGAGGGACACGCTGGCCACCCGGGTGAAGACACAGTCGCTATGGACCGTACCGAAACGCTCGGTATTCCTGGTGGTGATGCCAATGCGACACGCGGCAGCTTCGATGTGTCGTCTCGACGTGGCACTACGACCGAAAGCGATAGCAGCCGTCGCGATCACACTGCTAGGATCATGGAGAAACTTGACCTGACAAGAAAGTCAACAGTAAGCCCTCAGTTGAGTGGAAGCAATCCCTCTTCTGCCAGCGGTGGCATTGCTAGTCTTATCTCCGCGAGTCTTGCCTCAGCTAGTCATAACATTGTGCAGGTTGGACAGATTGCCGCTCCTGCACCTGGACTCCCTGATACTCGCCTTGTCATGGGTCAGACACTTCCTTATACTAGTCTAGCTCCTTCTACCCTTGCGAGCCCACCAGCCCCGACAAACCTTAGCAAAGCTGCTGTTGCTGTGAGCGGAGAGCGAGGTCTTGGGACCGGTCGTTCGGGTAATATGCCTGGTGGGCTTATGGCCAACCTATGGGGCTCAGTCAACTGGGGATACGTCAACGTTCTCGGGCGCGAAGAAGAGACCAACACCCGTGATCGTAGTCAATCTGGACCTCCAAGCCCCATCAATCCATCTCCAGTCCTTGGGCCTAGTGATGAGAAGAATGGAACAGAGGCAGCGCCTACTGTCCCGACCAGCGCCGCTCATCGCAAGTCAAGTAGTATGGGAGGTCCTATCCCGATACTCAACAAGCCCAATGTCGAAGAGGTTGATTTCCCAAACTACTACCCTCTAGCTCTGCGGATGCAAGACGCACAGTTCCGTATACTATTCCCTACTGTGCCACGGGCGGAGAAAGTTGTGCTAGTATTCCGTGCGGTATGGAATCCGACAGAGCAACAAGAGTTCCCCGGACGTGTGTACGTCACAACCAAGAATATTTACTTTTACAGCAATCATCTTGGTCTTGTGCTCATTACTGGAATAAGCATGGCTTCTATTGATGAAGTCACCGCTGCACCCGGCAAGGACTGCGACTTTCTTTTCCTACACTTCAAGTCAGGTTCCAGAGAAGATGGTGCAACTAGGCTCACTGTCAAGACGTTCCTCGAGCCTCTCAAACTGCTCTTGCGTCGCTTGAACTTCCTTGTACGCAACACTACCTCTAGGGAGCACAACCTGGAAGAAACGATAAAGGGGATGATCAAGATGGAGACGGATGAAAGTCTTAATTCAGTAGGTGAGGAGGGCTGGGAGGAAATATCCCCAGACACGCCTATTGACCCAAATACTTATGGTGGTGGGAAGAATATCAAAGCCAGTCTCCGCATCGATGGCAATCTATTTGGGCCATCTGGTGCAAGTGCTGGAAAGAATGCCACCAAATTCAAACTTCCATCGCAAGCTGTAGTCTTCGCCCCTGCTGGCATGACGCAAGTCGCCGTGGAGAAGGAATATGACATTAGCGCGAAAGGACTATTTCATATACTCTTCGGCGACAAAAGCGCTGTATTCCAGTTACTTTACCGGGAAAGGAGAGCATCCCGCATTGTTCAGGGGCCCTGGATCACAAGCGACAAAAACCTCCAACGAAGGGACTTTGAATATGAAGTCGCGCAGCCGGGTAAGAACGGAGCTATTGTTATAAACGACTACCAAGTCATCGAAGTGTTGAACGATCATCTTTGTTATGTGGTCTCGGATCGCAAAACGCCTTGGTACCTGCCAGGCCAAGAGCGATTTGTACTTCTCAGCAAGACTGTCATCACACATGTCTCGAAAGCACGGTGCAAGCTGGCTATTCACACAAAGGTAGACTGGAAGCGAAATCCACGTTTTGCGAAAAAGCTCATCGAACGTCAAGCCTTGCAAGACTTGGAACTTGAGGCGCAGGACCTTGTTGATGTCGTCAATGACCAGGTCGCAAGGCTCGGTCACAACAGAAGCACGAACAAGGTTACGGGCATTTTTGGTCAGATTGGGGCTCAGACACAAGCTGTGCAGCTCGATGCACAGGACATCCCACCACCAAACCGACCGCGAAAGTTCAAGTTACGACCACAGACGACAGCTTCTTTTGTCGCGCAATATATCGGTAACATCGTCATCAGTGTGCTGTCAACAGTTATGAGTTGGATACTAGCGATCGGCGCAGGGCTCGGCAAAGTCATTTCAGCACACTCTTTGCTCTTTGGCCTTCTGTTAGTCAGTGGTGGTGCCAATTTCTTCTATACTTCAAGAGACAGTTGGAGCTGGTGGCATGAGCGAAATGCCGCAAACTACATGTCGCGACTGGGCGTCAAGCCATCGACTACGATGACACGCTCGATTTACATTCGCGACATCGAGGAGTCGTTCTTGAACAGGAATAGTACGGGTCTTGAATTTTCAGTGCCAGTTGCGGCCAGCACCGACAACAAATGGTATGTTGCCCTCGACTTGAAATCCTGACATAGCTAACTTTGCACAGCCATCAGACATTCACGACCCTCCTTCACGACCCCTTGTCGACAGTTTCGACACAGTCATTCTTCAGACCCTCCACACATAGCACCCAGCGTCTCCACCGTACGCGACAGAGCCTTGGCTCACATCGTCATGACCTACTCGTTGCTCTACGGGTTGTTAATCGAATTGAGAAAGAAGTGGTGGAAGCGGAATACGAGAACTGGCTGCTGGATGAGACACACAAATGTAGCAAGGTTGGAAAGCTCTTGGAGAGCGCAGCCAAGAAGGGGAAGGAAAAGCAGGTGGAGGATTGGGTAAAAGGTTATTGCGGGGACTGTCAGAAGAGCTTGAGGGTTGTTGAGGAGAGCCGGAAGGGTCTGGTTTGAGTCTTGCTTCGGCTGGTTGTTGAGCTCAGATTGGACAAGGGGTCAGCGTACCGGAAAACAGTGTAATGTCGTCGTACAACCCACAAAACGCAGAAAAAATATTTCCGCTTGAAAAATGTGCTGAACCCTCTGTCTCCCGCATAAGCTCGTCTCGGGCTGGTCGCTCTGACGCTTGGTTTTTCCTACATCTACCTGGACACTTCCTGGGTTCTTCACCTCTCCCGCCCTCGCGTTTGCGCTCGACTTAGATCCTGACTTCTCTGGGCAATTCCAATCAGTTTCCGCAGCTAATCTGCTTAGTCAAACAACTGCAGCTATGGCCGTGATCGGTATGACTTGCAAGCTCACAGACGACAGCGTTGTCGTGAACGGCGACCTCAAAATCTCATTCCGAAGGACAGTTCGCGTACCTGAAACTAAGGAATCAAACTGGCTCCCTCCCGACCTTGGCGCTTTCCCACTCAAGCCCGTATCGCAACATAGCAAAAACCTGCCTCCTGGTATGGCTGTCAAGGGAGGAGTGCTCTTCCCCATGCATCGTAAGTGTAGCCAATGACTGCTTGTGACAAAGCGTCTCAGTCTAATGAACATGGTCCAGAACACGAGGCAATGTGGATCAACTTCAGTACTGTTCACGAAGATATGTTGCCGTATATGATCAAGATCTACGTTGGCGGCGTAAACGTAGTCTCTGCCCAAACTGCTATGGAGTCCATGGCCAGCCGCTCTCGTCGACAAGTACGACTGCAGACGACTCCGTCTAACCCAAAACCCGCGTCTCCTCTCCAAGATTACGTCGTGGTACCGGGACAGAGGTGGATTGATGGGATTGCTAACGGAGACGGTACAGTTCGTCAATTCGTTGCTGCACCTTTACACAGCGGACTCTCGGTTGAAGCGCAAATGACTGGCAAGGACGCAATAGGCGGGATACAGATCGAAATCACGCCTTACAAGCTCCCTTGCCCGTGTGAGTTCTCAGGTAGACCCATGCAGATCTTCCTGAAGCAGCTCGATGGTTCGACCAAGACCTTCAATGTCACAAACTTGGAGCCCATCGAGAACTTCAAGCTCCGTATTCGCGAGGCCACGGGTATTCCTACCAGCATCATCCGCTTAATATATGCGGGTAAGCAACTTGAAGGTGAATTACTTGGATCACAATCTAAGTAATACTAATACGCTAACTCTATGCTAGATAGGCGAAAATTTGGAGACTATCGCATCTCCAAGGAGGCTACTATCCACATGGTCCTCCGCCTTCGAGGTGCCGGCTCCCTTGTACACATATCCACACCTGAGATGAACACCGCAGCTGGCGGTCTCATTAAGCAAGTCATACATCGCGATATGCATCCACCCAACTGGGATACCACTAAGACGACCGTCTTCAATGCCCAGATTCTCAACTCTATGCTATACCAGGCTGTCACTGGTGCCAGGCCTCTTGTGCCCTCCATCCTCCACGAAAGATATATACATCACGGGCTTCCTTACTACAAGATGTACGAGGAGCTAAGCAATATTTACGGTAACTTCCACATGGTCAAGTCTGTGGGACAGATCACAGGCAAGGTCGATTGTAAGGTTGTGACAAAGGCTCCTCGAATCGTGAAGATCGGGAAAGACCACAAGAATGTGAGCCCGCCAGGTCCGCCGCAAGTATCGCATACGATATTCAAGCTAGAGGACGCGTTGGAAAGCTATCATATTGCGAACTTTTAGGCTAGCGTACAGTAGCATGGACGTCAATGCATGATGTTCAAGAGTTTGTGAAAATATATTTGGGGGTTTAGAGGCCATTCCAGGTTATCATATCAATTCTTGGCTAGGAATACAAGTAGATATAGGTTGAGCCTCCGTTTTGCTCAATCGTGAATGCCTGGAAAATATAGGAGGAGTTCAACTACGTAGTCTAAATCGAAAGATGGATCTCTTCCTTCCGTGGCTCATCTCCCTACTCATGATCAGACTTTTGATATGGTGCCCTTGTATCTTGATGACAAAAGGTCCCCTCATAAAGGATTTCCACAGGTTTCTGATTGTCTCAGCGGTACTAAGTCACAGTCAGCTCCCATGCTCTCTATTCGACCCTAGTTCCTGTCTATGAGGGCTGCCTCTCAAGCGTACCTTGACGAAACCAATATCCTGTGCCTTCTCGCGGAAAGCCTGACGACTCATGTTGAGTCCGTACTTGCGGATGATACCAGACTTCTTCTTGTCACCAGTGACAACACTGTCCATAGAATTAGCAGCTGGTCATCTCGTGAGCAAGATTGGTTCCAGTCTACCAGCCAATAGAAGCCTTTCCGTAGGTTCGTGGGCGCGAATACCAGACAGATTCATGTGACATCTTGGTGAGTTTGTTCGATGGGATTTGGAAAACCGCTCGTCGTTCAGCAGTCGGGAAGCTGTTTAGAAGTACAAGAAGAGTCTAGGCAGAGTTTTGCAAAGAGAATTTTGTTTGTGCGGGAGTAGAGGTGCATGATTGTGTGTGGTAGTACCTTGTTGGACACCATGTCTGGGATTGCATATCATGGTACTCGCAAGGGGATGGGGTAACGTGATCTGAAATATCACCTAATGCGTAATCACAGGCACCTTTTCTCATCGTAACGTGAGCGTTAAATCTGTCTTTGATGGCTTTGCGACAGCCGAAGACTGTCGTGCCCGAGATCATGTATGAGTCTATCTTATACCCTGAACTGACACAGACGGTGATGACACTTCTCGATAGACAATGCACTGCAACAGGAGTAACGATGAGACGTAGAGATTCTACAGGAGTGACATTCGTTCTGACGTCTATCTGCTTGAGCCTGCTCAAAGAGATCTCAATGACGCACCGAAACATTCCATCAAGACAATCTTGACTACAAGCCGATACGCCCGACCGATACGCCAAAATCCATTTAAAGAAAAGGGAAGAAGGGCGATACACCCTGTGTAATCTGACTGCATGAACCATAACTATCACCCTTATGACGCTTCGTGACGGTGATGGCATCGAGTTTCCGATTTCCAAGTAGAGACTTGGAAACACCCAAACGTCTTTCCTACCACAGCCAATATACGCAAACCGCTCCTGTAAGCTATGCAAGATCAGCTGTCCTATTCCGTCCATGGTATAATTCGTGATGTTGCTCCAATGACGTTTAGCTGGGAAGCAAGGATCAGAGAGATGCAAATGGATTTTCGTACAGTCTCTGAAACAGTGTCAGAACGCATCGTGCGGTGCCAGCCGCAATTAGTGGTCCTCGTAGTTATGGACGTCGAGAAGGCATCATGTTGAATGTCGCAAATGGAATGGAACAATGCGGATGCGAACCGGCCGCTCCTCAACCCCCAAGAATTACAACATCAGGTCACCTAATTCTTTTCATATGTCATCAATGTCGTAGTAATCGTCGAAGCCGTACGGGGGGCGCCGTATCTGAGGTCTCGCCCAGCCGTTACCAACATCATCGTCGTCTTTCTCCGCATCTAACGGTGTCCAAACGATAACTTTTTTGCGTAGCCTCCAGCTTCTCTTGTTAAACCTCGCTTTCATGTCACGCTCTTTTCCGTATCCAGGCGATTTCTGAGTAACGTCTACATTGTCGCCGCGCTTCACTAAGACGAGTAATGCTTTTCGGGCGCCAACCCCCCTGGTCAGCTCTTCGTCGTCAACCCTGCCAAATCCTTCAAGCTGATGCTCTTGTGGGTTCTGTTCAAAAGGCTCCCGCCTGTTCGTATCAAGGACGGATGTGCAGTCATTTTCCTCAGTCGCTCTGAACACTTGCACAACGGATCCGGAATCTTCTCCATCTCTGTTTGATAATCTCTTGTTCCAAAACCTGGGCTGAGGCTGACGGCAGATGTCCCCCGTTTCGCGAGATCCGTGGCTTCTGGAAGGGCTAAAGCCGAGCATGCGTGAACTCCGAGTAACATAGCGAAGCTCTTTCCATCCGTTGCCGCGGTTTATCAGGTTCGTAATAGCGTCATACTCCGGCGCAGCAGCTGCCACCGCAAATACTGTCAAGCAGTCCAACCTGAGTGCAGGAAGCAACTGGAAGATGGATTCATGACGGTACATGAGGTCGTCGAAACCTTTGAGATAGCGCATCATTGGGGAGCCGATCAACCGAAGGTGGCGGATCTTGGATACAGTAGAATCCGGTAATTCGGACAGCCTGTTTAGCATAGTTTGAGGATCTTCAAAATTGAAAGTAACACGCTGAAGCCATATGTCGCGTGTTTCGATGTGAATCTGGCGGGATACGCGCAATAGCGCGAGGGAATGTGGGGCAGGCTTGAGATACCTCTCGCCATAGCGGGGTGTGTATCGCAGTCCGAACGTCAGCCTCGTCGAGTTGAAAGCCAGCTCCCATATCTCGTCGCGCAGTTCTCGAGGCAGTTGCAACAAAGGACTCGAATCATTCAAAGCAGTATTGTCGTCTGTCATCCTTATCGACCTGATGGAGGTTTGGCGGGGTTCATTGTACCAGCGGTACCGGCCACTCTTGGGCGGGATAAAGTAGTCTTCGTCCTGGATCATCATCTTGGAGAAGGTTTGCCCTGCATTGGAATCGAAGGCCGTGGACGGCACCGAGACATGGGGATTGGCCGGCTTGATAACGCCTTGGTGGTGGTGAGCGCCAAGCAGGTTCCCGACTTGCCGTCACGCGACACCATATTAGTCGCCTGGCAATCTCGACTCAGCCACCTTCCATCTCCACCCAGTTGGGATGGTTACTCCACTCTTCTATCTCGACTTTCCCAATACTGTCAAAATGCCTCGCGCCCGCCGAATATCCCGCAGCTTGTTCCTCGTTCCTGGTTACAAGTTTCCCGGCCGACGCCCCGCTCCACAATCTGCGCTATACGGATGTCTAGACAATAAGCAACGCGTTAGGTTGGCGATTACATCAAGCGTATGCTTGGGACGCGTCTTGCATAGACTCCCGCACAGACAAAGACTCCGAAAATCGCGCTTTGAAGCTAACAGTACACAGTGGTACGCAGCTCTGAGGACCACACATGGAGCCGATATCCAGCCCTGGCAAATCATCGACGACACAGAATCCTGTCGAACCGCTGAGTCTAGATACCGAAGCCCTGCCAAGCATCTCCACACTCACCGAGATGCGCTGTTTACCACCTAAACGCTATGCCACATTGATGTCGATATCCCGTCTCAAGTTGCCATTACCGAGGCGTATGGCTAAGATGCATACAAGCGAGCCTGCCACCGGAACATCTCGGGCGCCATTTCCACCATCGATTGGTACCATCGTCCTCCGAGCGGCACGGTAGGATGCGTCCCAACAATAAGTCGAGGCTGACAAGTATGCCGTTCCACTAGAACACTGATCTTGAGGAAACATATTCGTGCTTAAATCGTCAAGTTCCTATAACGCATGAACACTCTGGAGATCGACAAGCTTGTAACGGCTTTCTGGTGCTTGGTGCGGGAAAATTGAAGCTCGGGTCAGCAACGCAGCTGTGGATCAGACTCCATAATCAGTCATTGGAACTCCGCCCAAATGCAACATGCGTGAGACCTATGCGTGAGGCTCCGCAACACATCGTTTGGTGCGGCCCTCGCCATGCCGGTACATTGTTCTCAAGCCGCATATGGATTGCATCGGTGGCCGCCGGACAGGCTCCAATCATGGTATATGCGCCACAATAGAAGCACTCGATACGAGATGGCTTTCGGATACCTTCCTCAAGAGTCACCCTGTGTGCCCAAGATGAAGCAGTGGGGTCTTACACCGGTATACCGCTCTTGGACATACGACAGAGTGGATCTCTGGCCTATGCTGGAGGAAGTCTAGCCGTGTTAGCTTCTTGATAGGTAAGACTGTGCAAAAAGAACGCGGATACATGGTTACACTACAACGAACACCAAGCTCTTCGTAAGTACGGCTTGTGGCTTAGCTCTTTCTTGATCCTTGCCGGAGGCTCATGAAATGACATCGACCATTACCTCCCGCCCTTGGAAGCGCTCTTGACGGCCGACGTTTCTGGGTGGGCTGGGTTAAACGCGCGATATGCTTTGACGAATAGCTTGGCCCAACGACTGCAGTGACTTCAGGCCTGTTGACTGATACGCCGGGACCTTCTCACATATCTCCTCGCTGATTGGATCTGCCAACCTTCTTTTTACGCCAACGGACCTGGTCTGTATCTACCTTGGGTTCTGTCTCAGTCTTCTCTAATGCTTGTAGCATGGTTCATTGCGGTCTATCACCTAAAAAAGAACACGTCGATGGATACCACCACATTGTTCGTTCTGCGCTATTGAATGAGGTTCTCATTGTTGTCCTGTAGCATGATGGCCTCTTGACTTCTCTCCCCTAACACCAATACTACGTTCTGCTACTAACCTGCATATTTTCGCCGTCAGTCCTCTGCAATTCTCCAACCTTGCGCAACGCCCGGCCCCTCTTCTCTTCACTCTGCCAACAACAATGCCTACTTGTTTGCTCGTCATCACGGCCAGCGCGTCGCGTTTTCTAAGCCACTTCCCTTCCAGATATCCGACTGCAATGTCTTCTTCCTTAAGCATCCTCGCGAAGGCAGAGACTCTATGGAGCAGACAATTTTGATACAAGGAAGAGCCTACATTCATCAGACTGTTCCGAATCTTAGACTCCTCACTAGCCTAATGACATCTGTCGAACCTTGAGCTGGGATGCGTATCCTACAACAACGATGACAGTCTAGGATTCCAGGGCTATGCTGATAACCCATTACCACTCTTGTGCCAAAGAATTGAGCAGCTTTAATAAGATTCGAGTCCATCACTAAAGACGCGAGGTATGCTGCCGAAGCTTGAGGCTGTGATGCTCAACTTCCACAGAGCAACTGCATTATCATATGCCGCATTGCTTGTCAGCTTTCCTACCGGAACCCTCACTGTCATTAATGCATAAAATACCGCACAAGAAGTGCCACCAAAAGTTCGTGAAGCATTCGGTAAGCCATACAAACAGGCAGGCATTTGTATGCCTGTAGAAGAACCCGACCTGTAGGAGCCACTTAAGCAGAGAAGCGTCGAAGACTTTATCGAGAGAGCAAAGAAGAGCAACAAGGTAGCCTCTAGGGTATGAAGGTATCACGCACCTCACAGTTAGAGACTAGGAGTTGCGTATGAAATAATGGATATGATGTTGTGCATCATTACTAGTACCGATGTAGGGCTAGCTCCCCTTGGAGTAGTTCGCATGTTGAACACCCAATGACATCATTCTCAGAGAATACCGTTCCATGTCCACCTTTCCCATCCGAATCATCGCGCACAAAACACGGAACTACGGAATATGTTCCAGGATCTGTGATCACACCAGGGCGCATTGTGGCTCAGCAGGCACGTGGCGCTGCTTTCGTTTGCCACGATGACGCGCACTCAATCGAAGCTCCCGTTCGCGCGTAATGCCCTGGGTTATTAGCCCATCACCCCGCCATCCAGCTTACATTGCGACATTACTTGATTATACGTGATTTGAAGCTACCTTTGTCTCAAAGTCTTCTTTATCGTTCTAAAAGCTGGTACCTGATTTTCGCATATCAACCACATAATGGCAGATTTCGCACCACCACCAGTATGTATATGGCGGTCACAACCATGGTGATGCGTGGTCATGGCTAATTGGATACACAGGGCCCTCCCCCACCCAAGGTACCGGAAGGCTGGAAAGCCGTCTGGAACCCGCAATACAACGAATGGTTCTACGTCAACGTCTACACAAAGCAGTCACAATGGGACAAGCCGACCGAACCTGTCTACCCTCCCGGCGAGGCCCCGCCCGCTGGTGCTCCTCCTGGGTATGCGCCTCCAGCAAGCGGCGCTGTCGGTGGATATCCTTCAGCCGCGAACGAGAAGGGAGGATTCGGTAGCAATAACCCTTACGCGAACACGAGCGAGGACGAGGCGCTTGCGAGAAGGCTGCAAGAAGAAGAACAAGCGCGCGCCAACGGACACTCGAGCGATACACGCGGACAGTCGAACGACTACTACAACCAGCCTGGACAGTCGCAACCACCGCAGTACGGCGGTTATGGCCAGCAGAGCACCAGCTCGTATCCGCAAGAACAACACCACGATGCGAATACACAAGACAAGGGCAGCAAAGGCAAAGGTCTATTAGGCAAGATCCTTGGAAAGGCTACTGGCTCGTCACACTCATCATCGTCGCACGGCTATCCACAACAACAGCATGGCTATGGACAGCCAGCATACGGCCAAGCGGGTGGAGCAGGCTACTATGGCGGAGGAGGCTATGGCCGACCAATGGGTGGTGGCATGCCTATGGGTGGCGGTATGATGGGCGGTGGTAGGCGTCCAGGAGGAGGCGGCGGCATGGGAGGCATGGCCCTTGGAGCAGGAGGAGGTTTGCTGGCAGGTGGACTTATTGGATCGGCCATGGCCGGGGACGGCGGCGATACCTATGTGGAGAACAACTATGGTGACGATGGCGATATGGGTGGAGGAGATATGGGAGGCGACGACATGGGTGACATGGGTGGAGATTTCTGAGACGGTGCAACTCCATTAAAGCCGTTGTACGATTTTCTTTCTTTGTCTAGACATTCATATCACTATTGTATTACACTATAGCTGATTAATTTCTCGATTCCAATATAATGTGCACGTTATCAGAGCTGGTTAATGAACATTTGCACGCATGTGAACTATGACGTATCTCAGTAATCGGTTTAAATCTTCCCGAAAAGTGCAATACGACCAACGCCACGCTTGCAAAACATCAACATCTTCATGCTCAAAGCAACTTCACGCCTAACAAACATCATGGCAGCGGATCAACAAAAACGCAATATCGTTATCATTGGTAATTTGAACCAATCAATCTACTTATCTCGAAGGTTTCTTGCTAACGATCTTAGGTGGCGGCATAATTGGCTCTACCACAGCATACTTTCTTTCGCACCACCCAAACTTCAACAAAGAAAGAGACAGCATCACACTTTTGGAAGCCACTAAGATTGCTGGTGGTGCATCGGGGAAAGCCGGTGGTCTTCTAGCATTATGGGCATACCCGAATTGCATTGTTCCGCTAAGTTACAAACTGCATCAAGAGCTAGCTGAGAAACATGGTGGCGCGGAGCGTTGGGGCTACAGAGCAGTACACTGTGGTCAGGTTGACATGTATGGCGTTCTAGCCAAGAGCAAGGGTGCCAAAGATGGGACGAACGGCAAGAGCAAAGAGGACTCAGTGAGCCTGCAAAAGCGAACACAGAAAGCGATCGGTTTACTACGTGCTGCCGGTGTACCGAAAGATTTGGATTGGGTGGCCGCGGATGGCATGAAGGCCTACGAGGAAATGGGTACACCACTCACGACGGCGCAAGTGCATCCTTATCATTTCACAACGAGTATGGCACAGCTTGCCGAAGAGAAGGGCGTCAAGATTGTGTACGGCTCTGCTACCAACATCGAGCAAGAGAACGGCGCGGTCAAGTCTGTTTCGTACAAGAGCAAAGAGTCAGGCGAAGAGCAAAAACTTGACGCCGATACCATTATCCTTACGGCAGGCCCATGGACGAGGACAGTCTGGAAGCCCTCGCCTATCTCAGCTCTCCGTGCTCACAGTGTCACCATCCGCCCTTCGCGACCCGTCTCTGCCTACGCACTTTTCACCTCAATAGATATGCCACGCGGCAACGGCAAACGCGGCGAGACCGTCACACCAGAAATCTATGCTCGACCGAACCAGGAAGTCTACGCGTGCGGCGAAGGTGATCATCTCGTGCCCCTTCCTACATCCACTGATCTGGTTCAATGTGATGAGAGCCGATGTCAAGAAATCGTTGAGCAGGTCTCCGCTATCTCAGAGGAGTTGAGAGACGGTGAGGTCACAGCAAGACAAGCGTGCTACCTGCCGAATGTAAGTAGAGGTAGCGGTCCGCTTATCGGAAAGACCAGTGTGAAGGGTCTGCTGATGGGTGCTGGACACACGTGTTGGGGTATTCAGAACGGGCCTGCCACAGGAAAGCTGTTGAGTGAGTTTGTGTGGGATGGCGATGTGAAGAGTGCGCAAATTGGTAGCTTGGACCCCAGAAAGTTCGGTGTTTAGATGCAGTGACAACTTTTGGCTACTATTGGTAGCTCGTTATACAATAGACACCTCAAGTTCCTGGCTCAAGTATTCAGCTTCTGATTTGAGACGAAGTCGTCCCAGCCTCTAGGAGTCTATCAATAACCCACAAACCCAACCTCATCAATGGCATGCAATTCTTTTCACTTATCCTACCTTGAACGGCGTCTACCCAAAAGACCACTGCAAAGCACCCACTCAAATGTCATCCAAATCCTCCTCCTCAGCCTTGCTTTTCTTCCCGTCCCCATTCAGCCTGTCCATCCTGACATTCTCTTGTCTCCTGGTGTCATTCATACCACCGCTCATAGCCATAGCCTGGCGTCCTGTATCCGAGCTCTCAAGGAAGGTACGAAGACGCTCCTTACCAACTTCAAGACCTTGCTGCGATGCAGCGTTGGCCATTCGTGCCATGGGGCCCCATAGGTTGAGAGTGTAGGTTACGTAGGCGCCGACAGCGAGAAGGACGAGGAAGATGAAGTATACTGGATTGCGAAGAACTGGGAAGTGTTAGTCGAAAAATAGCGGAGAGAAGGGACGACAAGGGAACTTACCAGCTACTATCTCGTTCCAACCCAGCGCGAGGAGTAAGCCGTAGAAGTACAACGGAACTTGTGTGATACCACCAATCGCGCTACGCTTGGCTTCCACATAGACACCATCTGCAGTCTTCTTGAAGCGGACAAGAAGGTCGGCTTGCTTGGCGTCCGAGAGAATCGTCATCTCCTCTTCCAGGGTCTTGCCCTCTTCATCGTCTAGACCACCGATGGGTGTCAAGTCGTCTTCATCTGCGGGCGTTACCGAGGCGGGTGCTTCGCCGATCCAGGCGTCGAGTGGTGGAGGGCTCGATGTTTTGGCCAACTTGAAACGAGCGAGTAGTGGAATGACGGTGATTGTCGACTCTCGGGCTTTGGTGTAGATGCCTTCTATATCGTCTGTGGGCCGCCATATTCTTGGGACGCCATGCTCGTCGTAGCGGAACTTGTCTTCGAAGTTTTCTCTTAGCTTCAACAGGATGTTACCTTCCATAACTTCCTCATCAATCTTTGCGCGGAGCACAGCCCACGACTTGCGCCGTAACCTCCACAGACCGACCTCAACTTCGTCGGAACTAGCATCGAAGCTCGATGCGCGATCGGTGAATCGCTTTTCAGCCATGGAAACAGTGTCGGTGAAGATGGTCCAGACACGATCCCACAGATCTTTCTCTGTCGGAGGTCGCTCCCCATGCTCGGGCGCGCCAGAACCGCCTCGACCGGATCCGAGCTTGTTGAATTCAAGACCGACAGACTCATCCAATCGTGATCGTACCCAGCGCTCGATACGTGTGGCCAACCGTCTCATCTCCTCCTTGCGCAGACGGCCAGATACGTCGTCGAGCTCCTTCTTGTAGATTTTCAACTCGTTTTCGTGACTGCTCCAGGCCGCACCTTCGATAGCCATGGCTTTTGCATCCTCTTCAAACTTGGCAAGTGCCTGCTTCTTCTCTGAATCGACAATTTGTGCAAAGTCATAGGTACCCTTCTTTTGACCGCTCTTGACCGCCGCACTGACGGCCTCGCTGAACGATTCCACCCCAGACTTGTGAGCAGCTGTGAGTTGCTTCTGGAACAGAGCCTTCAACCGTGAATCTACCTTGCCTTCAAGTTCTGCCTGCTTCCGCTTGTAGACGCCTTTGTGGTATCGGCTCGCATTCGTATCGAAATCTTTGAAGACCTTGGTTCGTGCGGCGCTCATGGCAGGGCCGAGGTCGGCTATAACAGAAAGCTTCCCTATCCGAGCATCTTCGGCTTGCCTGTCCTCTAGTGGCGTGATCTTCTCGTCGAAAGCAACCAGGACCTCACGCGAGATCTCGTCACAACGGAACTGAGCCAACAGCTCTTGCTGCGTGGGCAGATCCAAGTCCTTGTTGTTGACAATCTGATCCCATACGCCCTCGGCATATGCGGAGAAACCGTCTGCGGGGATCCGTCTGTGGTACTGTGGCAGGAAGATGGGTGCAGTCGACTCGTCGATGAGCCCGCTCTTCCTGGGGTCGTTGTATCCCTCCTTGAATCGTGTGCTAAGCTGTGTGACTGCCTCCTCGAACTTTTCCGGTTGTAGGATCTTGTGTGGTAGAGCGACGAAGGCGAAGTCGAAGTAGTCTTCTATCCGCGAGTTCTCCAGGCCGTTGGGCTTTGAGATGGTCGACCACAACTTGGACAGGTCTTGTACCAAGGTGTTTTGTAGATTCTTGAGGGGTGTCGTGCCGATGTGATCGCGAATGACGAAGAACAGGAGGGATCTGGGAGTGGACCTGCGTGGCTGTCAGCATGGGATGAGTCTAGCGTGGTCGACAAACGTACTTGCTGTCTTTGACGAAGAGTTGCAAATTGACTTCGAAGACGGTCTTGAGCAGGCCCATGTTGGCACCCTGGTACAGTCCGACCTGGTGTTCCCAGATGTTGACGATGAGGACCTCGCTCGTGGCAAGCGCAAAGAGGGCGCTCTTGCGTTCAAAGTCCTGGTCCTCTCCTCGCTCTCTGCCGTCGGTACCCTCGACATCCATAACCAGGATATTTTCCGCCATGTTGGAGCCACCCTCCTCCCGCTTGTTCTTGCTCATCCATATTCCCTTTGTGGTCTGACGACGCTCCTGCTCGGACATGACGCCGAACTGGGTACCGAAGAGGTAATTGAGGAGGGTTGATTTTCCGGTGGACTGCGAGCCAAAGACGGATATGAGGTGGTAGTTGAAGCCCGAGGGGATAACCTTCTCAATGCCGAGATATGTGGATAGGTTTGTGCTGCACAGCGAGTTGCCATTAGCCCTCTACTCTGCTACCCAATTGCCTGCACAGCCAGAAGACATACTTGAACATCTTGTCCTCGTCAATGACCTGGATGCCATGTTCGTAGGCACCTTTGTCGGCATTCTCGCCCACACCGGCAAAGTGGGAGTTCATCATGAGAGACGGCGATGTGTGGTGTTTGACGTTGCTCGGACGGCTCTGGCCGTTGGGCTTGAGGGATTCGTCGGCCATGATTTCTGCGTGTACAGTCCAGCCGAGAGCTGCACGTGGTGCGGGAAGAATATGGCGTTGTTAGGGGTGAAAGCTGGCCGTTGATGTCACAGGCCGACCGCTTCTCGAGTGCCTCGCCGCCATTCGTCGCTGCACCCTGGCCCGCATCCTCGCTTAAGCCCAGGTGGTGGTTACTGCCGTACAGATGACGATCTGGCTGCATCATTCACCCTGCTTGTATACCGGCTTCTGAGACATTCCTGCTCAGAATTCCCGCGTGCTGTTGCCCCGTGAAGCGCCATCAGAACCCTGGTTGTGTGCGGTAGTGGGCATGCACGTTGCCATCGAGGGCAGGACCAAACCATCCTTTCTTGGCACCCGTCTCGCCGGTACTATCACTGGATCGCTTGACATGAGGTTCCTGAAGATAAACGTGTCCTTAGATAGCTACCGACAAGCTACCGAAATCTGGGAGATCGCCGTATCGATCGCTCTAGACGTCCTTGCTCATCGCAAAGCTCCAGCAGCAGCAGGAGAGAAATTACATCTACCCCACCATACATGCCACTCTATCACCATGCTACCAACACTATCCACGCTTTCAGAACTTCCTATGTCCCTTTCCGCCACTCACCATGTCTCCGCTAATCTTGCTAATCTCCTCGCTATTCTTAACCCATGCCTTTGTCGCATCATCAAACACTCCGTCTCCAAATTTATTCTTGCACCACTCCAGCACCTTCTCCGCCTCGGCCCTTATCCTGTTCTCGATACCATCCTCATCATTTGCCCTGTCAATTTTCTTCTTGCTTCGATACTCTTCAACGGCGTCAATCAGACTCTTAGGCTCCTGGTCGCCGTAGACGAACTCGATGAGCGAAGCAGAGATGGAAGAGTTGCTGCCAACTTGCTTCGCGACTTCAGCATCCAGCTTCTGACCTTCTTCTTTGTGCTTGGGCTGGTAACCTTCACATGCGTCTGCCACGTCGCCCACCCATGCTCTTGCATTGTCAAAGTCGCCTTCCGCACGGTGCAAGATACCATGGAGCAACATTCCTTCCACAGCTGGCGGTGCCTGCATGTGCCGCACTAGGAAGTGTGCAGAGGGCAAATCGTGGTTCAGGATATGCAACAGTGTCTCGATAGTAGGATGGACGTGTAAGTCTGCGATGGTCGCTGTAAGTTGTGCATCTTGAGGTTTTTTGGGTGGATGAACAAGATTGGTGTTCGGTATGAGCGTCTGCGATATTGACTCCAGCGTTCGTGGTATATCCGATTGGCTCATATCTGTGTTGCTCGAACCGGGTAGAGCCGACTGCTTGACTCTAACCAGGGTACAAGGGTGAAAGTGAGGTTGAAGTAGTAGTAGTACTCGTAATCTCAGTAAAAGTAGAATCCCGGTAAGCAGTTACTTTTCACATGAAACGAGGAGTCCTACAGCATGTATGCACCTATTAGCTTCATCACGAAAGCATGTGACGTGCTTGATGCACCAACCCAGGAACGCAGACGTCATGATGGACCCTGAGAATTGATCGTGTGCAGGCTGTAGGGCTGGGCAAAACAAAATCAATAACACGCAAAAGTTACACAGAATTGCGCAAGTGTGATGAAACACCCCTCAGGCACAGTAACATGGCATGAAAACTGATTTCCATAGGTACGATAAAATGCGCTCATATCTGCATACAACGCGGACGCCACTTCGCAATCCAGCCACCAGGACACGCCCTAATCATACAGACGTAATAGGTACAAGGAGAAGGGCCGCAGATTGATTTTCATCCAAACGCCAATAATGATGATGGAGCTCTTAAAAGACAAGGGATAGACCGAACTAGGGGCCGATCGGAAGAATGGAGGTATTCGAGGTCGTCGTGAGTCGGTGTGGGAAATGAGGTCAACCCATGCTTAAGCCTTGTTCTTCTTCTTCTGGTCTTCTTCTTTCTCGGCCTTCTCCTCCTTCTTGTCAGCAGCATGCTGATGCTGTTTCGCCTGGTGCTCTTTGCCTGCTGCAGCAGCCTTGCGCTCCTTCTCGCGTTGCTCTTCGGCCTCTACCATCTCTGCATTATTGAATTAGCTCGCTGTTTCCAATATACAATCCAAAGAACGTGCACATACCTCTCCACTGGTCCTCGCCAGCGTATCTCTCGTGATGGATCTTCTTCTCAATAACATGCTTGTGTTCGGGATCATTCGGGTCAATAACCCTGATTGTCTCCCACCTTCCCTTGCCCTTCGCTGCATCCGCACCCTCAATCGCAAAGCTGCCTAGCAGCGCCGCCAGTGTGCCACCCTGTGCGTACATACGCGCCTGCACTAGTTTTTGTGATCCGCTCAGGTATGGGTTGCGGTTGACCATGTGCCATGAGCCAGCCATGGAGGCAATCCAGAAACCGAAGAGAAGTGGGTATCGGTTTTCGGTCGCCCAGTCTTTCGCACGCTCGAAAGCGGTTCTGTTCTGTTCGTAGAGGGCTTCGCGCTCCCTCTCGCGTTCAACTTGGCGCTTCTTTTCGGGTGTGTGTTCGATATCGTATGCTGCAGAGGCTCGATCGGCGGCAATGACAGCTGTGGGGTAGCATTGTTAGGATACGAGTTCTGGAGTCTTACAGTGTGGCGTGCGGGAACTCACCAACGAATGTTCCTGTTGAAGCGACCAAGAAAGCTCGGAACGGGACGGTGAGCGCTCTGAAGGAGTGGTATCTTCTACTCGCAGCCATGACACCTGCAGCGCCTACCGCCGTACCAATGATACCACCGATTGATCCGCCCTTGACTGTGGCACTTCAACTTGTCAGTACGACTTCCACAATTGCCGTTCATGCGTGAATCTTACTTGTAATGCGCCTCCTCCTCTTCCTTGGTAAGAACCTTCATTTTGTCTTAAGTGGAAATTGCTTTGATTTGGGGTGCAAGTGTGTTGGTTTGTCGTGAGAGTTTAGCGGCTGTTGAAAACTTGACGTTTGGTTACACCAGGTGTTGGGGAACTTGGATGAGTACGTGTACGGAGTCTGGAATTACATATAAAATATGACGGCGCATGCGGCGACTTAATAAAAGATAACGCAACGCTCAAAACTACACCATGGTGACGTCGCCGAACTTCCGGCGCCGCTAGACCCACGTTGACATGTGCGGGTTATGATGATGAGGTAAGTGCCTTCGGCAGGCCCTGCCTAGCCCTACATCCTCCAGGCTGGGCCGATTATCGTGCGCGCTGAGATCAGGTCACCGATGCATGATCGATTGAGCAAACCTTCTTTAGCGATTTAATCTGCTCTTGCTTCATTGCTCGCGTATTGGTACTGGATGAAGAATATTTGCCCCGTTACGGGATGCGTTTCCAGCGTCATGCGACCAATCATCACATGCTTCCAACATGTTCTTCCTCCAAGTATCTCCGAAAATGCATCATCCTACGCGTTACTCACCCTTGACTCCAATATGCAAGTAGCCGCTAAGTAAGACTCTGTAAGCTTGTGAGCAATGCATCCCTGGTTTGCTCCTTGTCGGCAAGATGTCGCACGTCGCATGCTGTTCGGATTTTGCGCCGAAGCGGCATCTCCTCAGTTGCCGCTCGCCGCTCGCCGCTCGCACTGCTCACACTTTGCAGAGCTGCGGCCAACCTTCCTTCTCCTCAACACATGGTCGTCCGGCCTTTCCAGAACGTGGTACCTGATGCAAGGGCTCATAGTTCTTTGCAAAGCTCGAAATTTGTTCTACCGACACGTGCAAAACACCTTTCCGACCGTGTCCGAGTTGCCACCGAAACCCGCATGAACTCCACGATTCACCGAGCGGCTCCGCACATTGACCTTGACAACAAAATGAGTGGCAACTCCTGTTTTTAATGTTCATGTATCAGTTTCCGACAGCACGGTAATGCTAGTGACCCTTCCTGAGGCATCACAGTCAACATTAGAGGTGAGGTCTATTAAGCTTCCATTCCATCGAAGAGTGCATACATCAGATGGTAGCATTACCGTAACTGTATTACCGTTGAATCAGCCTGCTTCGGAAAGATGGATAAGTATGTAGGTACAATTCAGTTGACTGTTCACCATATCGTCTTCTCCAGCCTGTCCCACGCTAACGCTACCAAGTATTTCAGGCCCGATGAAAATGCTAGGATAAACAAGAAAGGATCTGTCGAAATAAGGTGTGCAGGAATCGATGTTATCCCAGCCAACTGTAGGAAATGCGTATTTTCGTCTTAAGCCAATGGTTTTCGACAATTTTTTCGACATTGATCTTAGCTTTTGGGCATATCCACGATACCTTTTACGAGATCGAGCGAGCGGTGCACTGGCTGATAATACCCAACGATACGCATGTGGACGAAGACATGTGAATTGGAAAACATGCCTTCAACGGAAAGCGCCAAAACTGGGGCGCGGTGCGGGGTTGCCATAGCGGGGAAGCATACCTGCTGGAGGTCCTGGGCGCGTCGCAAGAGCAGGGTTACAGCAGAGCATGGCTACGCGAGATCCGTACTTAGAGCCGCGAAGAGAGACCATGTGCTTGCGAATGTGACCACCAACGAGTTCGCGATGTTGTGTGCCACTGTTTGTCAAGACATACTGTATGAGATAGTTGCCGAACTGATCACCAGCGACTTCGAAGAGTTAGCAACCATTCACACCGAGAGAGTAACCTGGAACCTACTGTCGATAAGGGGCATACGCGGACGATCAGGGCGAGCCTCGCATATGCGGTCCAGATACCGATCCAGGAATTCATTACCACCAATCTTGAGGCATTTCTCAATAACTTTGGAAGCGTACTGATCCATGCTATACTCTGTACTGAAACGGAGAATATGATCGATGGCACGACTACGGTCAGCAGGCGCGCCATGCTCACAGATATGCTGGATGCACCAGTTGCCAAATTGACCATGAGCGATGACATCGATACTTGCGAGCACTTCGTTGATGCAGGGACGCTATTTCGATTTAGCACTGATGGTAATACATGCTTAGTAGTATCTCAACATACCTTGTCTTCCTCAAGACAGTTCTCGAAGATGTTCTGTACGACCAGACTACCTGTCTCACCCAATGCGACTTCATGCCACATGCCGCGCAGAGCCTCGTTGACATAACGCATGATCTGGGGTGGGGAGTCGCTCCAACGGAGTTCAAAGAGCTTCTGCCAGACATGGCATGCGTATCGGTGAATGACAGTCTCTGGAATGCGGCGAAGTAGCTCATGGACCATGGTTGCCTTGTACTCTTCCGGAACACAGTCGAAGGCCTTCTGGATGACATGGCAGCCGAACGCGTCCATGCTCAAAGCAAGAGTATTTCCGCGGATGGCTTGGGCAATAGCAATAACTTGCTCGTGCGTACCATGCTCAAAGCAGCGCTGTACCAGGAAGTTGCCGAAACGGTTAACCATTAGAGCGTAGGCTTGAGAGATGATGGCCTCCACGATCTCATATTTTTGCTCCGGTGTGCCTACTTTGAGCTTTTGTTGAAGGAAGATAGATGCTTGCTGGTCGTTGTTGCAGATGATCTTATCGACAATGTATTTCCAGTTGCAGCTCATATTGCGGTCCAATAGGCGACGATAATTCATCGGTTCAACTGAGGGGACGTACTGTGAAGTACCTGCCTCACTTTGGGTCTACGCCATGTCAGTAAATACCAAGGTTCGATATGTCGTGGTGATGACTGACCTGGGAGTTCCATGGTGATGGCCCCATGCTGTTCTGGACGTTGAACTCATTTGCGTCAGGCGATAGTCTGCTGGCCATGGTGCGAATCGGAGCTGGATGGCCTATGGGATACATGGGTGGCATAGCGTACTGGTTGTAGCCTGAATCGAAGGCTGAACTAGGTCGGCTAGGTGGGTTACTCAATCCGTTGCCCATGCCAACACCCATACTGTTGTTGAAGCTATTGCCGATGCCGATGGGATTCGGCATGCCGTTACCCATGCCAGCATTGAAGCTGGTGGACATACCATTGCTGCGGAAGCTCTGGTCGAGAGGGAAGTGTGTAGGTTCATTCAAGAAACCGTTGCGGCGATAGCCTGACTGTGGGGGTTGTGGTCGGGGCTGGACCTGAGGTTGCGTCTGGGCCTGATATGGGGGTCCGAAGCTATTACTGCCGGTGTAGGCCGGACGAGCAGCTTCATTGCCCCAGCCGTAGTTGCTCCTGGTAGAGGCATTAAACTTGTTCTGCAAACTCGTGAGAGTCTGCTCAGTGACATCGCCCGGGTAGCTGTAATCAGCCTCAGACGATTGGCTCAGGTGCTCCATGGTTGACCGGGCTACATGGTGACTGTGCATCTCCTGGTTGACGCGGTTGACTTCGTTGCGAGCCTCCTGTAATTCCAGCTTCAGCTTCTGCAATTCGCTGGCCTCGACGAGGACAATGGAGCTGTCCATCTCGGTAGGTGGGGTAGATGTGAACTCGTCCGTCGCCGGCGTAATGGGAATGGATCCACTGGACGAGCTGTATGGGTCTTGCGGAGGAGAGCGACCGTTCAGCCGCTGTAGGAGCGAGTCCATGACAGCCGACTCTTCGTGAGCTTCCATCTTGGGCTTCTGTATAGGTCAGTTTGGGCGCTATAGAAGATGGTGACGGTGAGCCTATAATAGACGCTAGTTTGACTGACCTTATAGCCGTCGAACGAGCTGTGCTGTTGCAGCGGTATTTGGTTGCCCAGGGTATAAGGACCGAGTGGTCGCTTCATGCCCTGTGTATTGCATGTCAACGGTGAGCCAAAAGCACGCTGGAAGGCAAATGGGTATTGGTTCAGGCTCATGCTGCCTACCGCCTGGCCCAGTACCTCTGGCGAAGTGTCAATCCTAAGGTCTCCGGCCATGGCGAATCGATTGGGGCTCTTGCGGGGTGTAGGAGAACCGTCGGAAGTTATGTTGAAGCTCATGGTAGTAGAGCTTGGAAGTGTGGGTAGATGGTTTAGATCCGGGAGGCAGCAGTTGTCTCCAAGCTATATGGTGAAGACTGCAGTTCCGAAGGCGGTTTGAAACAAATCTGGGGTTATTGGGCAAATGTGCAGATAATATGCAGGACGAAGGCTCAGCGCAGCTCGTTTGGCGACGTATATAGCCAAAGTAGATGCAGAAGCGACGAGAGAACAGCTCAAATGCACATAAATCAGAAGATCGCAGAAGGTGTCGTCGTGAGGAAAGAACGACAGCAGGGTAGAAGGAAGAGACTGAAGCGAAGTCAAGAGGAGTCGGAGTAGTGGGGTGACAGCAATGGAAACTTCTCAGCAGACTAGGTGAGCGCAACTAGAGGGAGGCGCGTCGCGTCGGGACGTTCCGCATTCGTCTTCACCAGCAAACGGAAAGAGCATCGTGCCCGAAAAGACTGATTCCGCACAGAATACGAAAGGTTCGACTGTCGGGACTGAATCAGATCTACCTACTTCCTGAGACATTGCGCTCACCGTAGCCCTAGAGTACAGAATATGCACCTCACAAGCCCAACGAGAAATGTTGAGCCTTTGCTACCCGCAACCAGATACTGCCTCTTTAGGCTTGGATCCCTGTATCGCTCATTCGCTTTCTATGATACTACTTGGAGTGACCTCCCAGTCAGAGTCAAAGAAGCCCATGGCTAACACGCCCTCGATACCTTTCCACTTTGCGCTTTCACTGAAGACCACAAAATCAGGCTGTCCGACACCCGTCAGCATCGGGACAATCCGAGACGCTTGTCGTAACCCCTCATCATCCGCACCCCAAACGACAAGCTCAAGACGCTCGCCTGCAAGTGGTCGCAAGAATGCAGCAGCTCTAGCTTCCTGGCCGTATCGATGTGCTTGTCCCCGGTAACCCCGTATGGTGATCCCGGACTTTCCGACGTGGATTGGGAAATCCGTCTGACTAGCCTCGAGACTGGAGCCGGTTGCTAAAGTGATGATGTTGCCAGTGAGGTTCAGAGAAGGAGGATCTAATGCGGAGGAAAGAATGTAAGTGTTTGCTTGGAAATACTGGTGTAAATTGCGTGAAACCTGCAACGCAAGGCGAGATGAATTAGCAGAGCCTGGGTGCTGAATGACGAATGGCCCGTGGGTACGAAGGATAGCGGTCATAGAGCCCAGCTGTCGGCCAGTCCTCTCAGGTCGCGTGGAGTCTGTAGTACGTGTGCCGATGGTCCAGCCATCATCTGACTTGTAAACACTGATGGGAGAGACAGTCGCCGCTATTGTCTCAGCTAGACTCAAGTCCTTCCCATCGATTGTGACCGACTCCCTCCAGATGGTGGGATTAAACTCAAGACTTCGGACATTGGACGTCTTGATAACGTGCCCTCGAACACCAACCTTGCCATAGCGTCCTGGGTCCTCTAACTGTTTTACCTGAATCCCATTCTTACTACCCATGTCTCCAGGATCGCCGATCAAGATGAGGAAATGCTCCATCTTCCGCGGCAGAGTATCGTCATTCTTTGTCTGGGTATAATAGAAGTCTACTAACTCGGGTGTTGTCATGACACCATCCCACCAGTGATTTTGTCCTGCCACTTCGTTGTATCTGGCTTTGGCTCCAGTGACACCAGGGCTAACTCCAGTGCGGAATAACTGTTCTACTAGTAGGCGGGAATTATATGCTGGAACATTGTCGTCAATTTCACCATGCTGTTGTTGAACGGGTATGCCATGCGCGTTGGGCATAAGCATCTCATGACGATAGCTGTTGATGGATGCACTGACGACCGCTGTGCGACCAGGATCTGCAGCTTGCCACAGGTGATATGGCACGTACATCTGGATACTGGCGTAACCGGAGACTGGTGCTGCAGCGAGCACTTTGTCAGGTCTATGAGTAAGGGCAAACCAAGTACCCTGTCCGCCATTGGAATGTCCTGAGACTATCCAACGGTTCGTATCAACATCATAGCCTGTCCAGCGATTGTTGTCGATCCAGTCTGGAATTGCCGCAATTGCCGCTTCAACGTCGGCGAAACCCCAGTTGTGCCAGTCGTCACCGGACCACGGTGTGACACCAGTAGGAAACAGTACCCAAGCACAGAGGTCAGAAACCGGATCCAGGGCGCCAGTAACCATAGGGTTGTCAGCCTCGAGGCCTGCTCCGTGGAGTTGCAGCAATACGGGTAGTTTTAATTGTCCTGATGGGCATGTTGCATTTTTTGCTGGGGGTCGAAGCATGGCGTACGAAGCCATGCCACCAGGGTGGAGGAATGTGACCTTGTGGGGTCTGTAAAGACCGATATGGTTCAGAGTTTGGGACGCACGTAGGATGTTTTGGCGCGTACCACCAACTGTCTTATATGTAATATCGTAATCCACAGATGAAGTGTTGCTACCATGGAGAGTGATATTGAAGGCGATGGATTTCGTTTGACCAGGAACAATAATGTTGGACATATGCGAGTCACTCGACGTGTTAGGATTTCCCTGGTCAGCAATATCAGTATCTTTGCGTAACAATGACTGCGCGCCCATTGCCAACTCCGCGAAAGAGACATAAAGGCTCACACTTGAGTGCTGAATGCTCAGGATTTCAATTTTCTCTTCCCCGGTATTTCTCAAGTACACTGATCCAATTGACGAGGCAAGCTTTCCGTCGACGACATCGGACACTAGAATACCAGGTTTTGCAAGCTCCAAAGATCCTATGGCCTTTTGCACGTCAACAACAACATCAATGGTAGGCTCTAGAATACCACCAAAAGCTCTCACGTCGCGAGCTAGACGAATGTCAATTCTGTGCGAGCCAGGTTGGAGATGCAGAACAGGAGGCGCCTTGCGATAAGTATAGAAATCTCCCCCAAAGTAGTGCTGGTCATCCACCCAGAATTCCAGAATAGTATCTGTGTGTAAGACTAGGTGTTGAGTCTCGTTGCCGCCGACGTGAAGTTCGCCACGAGCCCAGGCCTGATATTGCACGGCAGCCCATCCATATACGACCTTCAGGAAGTCCCAGTCAACGTTTGAATAGGTCACACTCAAGGAGGCGTTGGCCGACGTAGCATCGCTCATGGTCCTCAAGGCTTGGGTGACATTCCACGATGCGGTTCCGTTAGTGGGCAATGAGCTTCGGAATGTTGCTTTGGGGTCATATTGGAGGTTTCTGAAGCCGCCATAGTACTCGAGTGGATCTGCGCCCCATGTCGCCTCTACAAAATGTCGGTATATCGTCTCCAGGCTACGTGGGCGATGACGTACCTCGAGTTCCCATCTGAAAAGGCCCCAGGACGTGCCATGTATCGCTGAAGGAAAACAAGGAGGCACTCTCCTGTCGGCTTGCTAGTGGGGCCACGAGCGGCTCATGTTCCGTAGCACGACCCAATTGCAGCAGGAACAGGAAAGTACAGAGTAGGTGCGGCAGCGACGGCCGGCTCATCGGAACGAACATGTTCTGTTGTATACAGAGGCTCGATACATGACGAGAGGGAGAGATGGCGCTTTTGAAAAGCAACGTTATCGCGGCAGAAGATCTCTACCGGACATAGCAGGTGGTGAAGGGTTCATGGACAGAGCTTGGCTGACGATGGCCGGTGGTTTGGAATCCCTGTCGCCTCCTGCCCTAGCTATCAGATCCGAACCGCCTCCGGAACGCGTATGTCACTAACCAGACAATTCTCCGCTAATTACGGATCCATTGCGACGCTTGCCTTCAACACCACGCTTCTTGGAATAATCCTTCGCGACGATCCACGGTACCCCTCCATCGCTACCGCTGCTTGTGCCACCCTTGTGCTCGTACATGTAGCAGGAGTGCGCCACGGTTCCGCGCATATAGTACAAGTCGCCTGCAGCATCGGTTCCCTCCCCATGGCGTAGCGAATACATCTACGACACCCCAACCACCTTGCATCCCGCAGTCGTCATGACGCCTCCGTTGGCGCGGGACCCGAGTCCCAACGCTACCTTCAAGTTTCCCGCTTTCCAGCCCGATCTACTGCCCACGCCCGAGGAAGACCACATATACGGTCACACGTCGTCGCGCTCTGCCAGTCCTAGCCATGCAGCGCAGACGAATGGCAGTACGATACCAGGCGACAGGTGGCATCCGCGCAAAGAGGCTAGATTCGGGGGCATCAACGGCTCAGCGTCGACCTCTTCAAACAGACATGGACGACAGAAGAGCCTGTCAGAGGCCTTCAGGACTATACGGACGCGAAAGGGCAGTGTCAGCCAGAATGCGCATGAACTTGCAGACGCGCTCAAGGCCCCACTATCGCCAAAGCTCATTGTAGGTCGCGATACGTATGGTTTGCTATGGCCTATGGCTAACAGGCGCAGGTGCTCTGCGGTGTGTGGTACATGACCTCCATCTTCACCAACATGTCTTCCAAGGCCATCCTGACCGCCCTACCGAAGCCCATTACCCTCACGACCGTCCAATTCGCTTTCGTATCCGGTTGGTGCTTGATACTCGCCATGTTCGCTAGGAAATACCCACGCCTAAAACAGACGATGCCTTTCCTGAAGTACGGCATTCGTGCCCCATCCAAGGAGCTGATCATGGCGACGCTGCCCTTGACATGCTTCCAGATCGGCGGACACATTCTGAGCGCCGATGCTACGTCAAGGATACCTGTTTCGTTGGTACACACTATCAAGGGACTTTCGCCGCTCCTGACGGTCATGGCATACAGCATCTTCTTCAAGATCCAGTACTCGCTACCCACATACCTTTCTCTCATCCCACTCACCCTAGGAGTCATACTGGCATGCTCGGCCGATTTCAATGCAAATCTGATCGGCCTGATGTCCGCCTTTGCCAGCGCCATCCTCTTCGTCGTTCAGAACATCGTCTCCAAACAAATCTTCAACGACGCCGCAGCTGCTGAGAAAGACGGCCTCCCGCCGAACAAGTTCACCAAACCAGATAAACTGAACCTCCTCTGTTATTCCTCTGGCCTAGCCTTTCTCTTTACTCTTCCACTTTGGCTTTGGTCCGAAGGGTTTACTCTTATCTTTGACTTTCTGCATGACGCTTCTATCGAGCTATCAGACCACCCTGAAGCTTTAGATCACGGGCGTCTGCTACTCGAGTTTCTTTTCAACGGCACTTTCCATTTTGGACAGAACATTGTAGCCTTTGTTTTGCTATCTATGGTGTCACCAGTTACTTACTCGGTTGCCAGCTTAATCAAGCGCGTCTTTGTCATTGTGTTCGCTGTTGTCTGGTTCGGCAAACCCATGACAAAAGTCCAAGCGTTTGGTTTTGTGCTCACATTCGTGGGTCTATATCTCTACGACCGCACGCACGACGCCGCGAAAGCAGATAAACGCGCAAAGGCCCTGCAGTCCAAGAACAGCGGTTCCCTACTCCCATTGGCCACAGATGTCAAGTCACGACCAGTCTACACTGCCAGTCCATCATCCATACCGGATACTGGAGCGTATCCAATGCCCGGTTTTCACGAATCAAGAGAAGAGAAAAGACATGATGATTCTGGTAGTTCGGGCTATCGTAGGACGTCTGAACAGGGCTCGCATTACCTGCCCCCAGGGACCAAAGCGGAGGATACTTGGCGGCCTAACGACATGAATGGAAGAAGGGGTATAGGCGTTTCATGAGCATTTACGAATCTATTTGTTACATTCTGATGAATCTCTCCTCCCGTACCAAGTGTTACAAGCAAGCATCCTGACCAGCGAGTCAGAAGGAATCCTGACTATACTGATGAAGATGCACAAAGGACCGAATTACATGCCGAACATCAAGAATCTTCGATTCGCCGAGATGACCGATCAAAACTAGGAGCCGTCGATCTACTTCGTCATATGTGATACAACGGCCGCTCCAGGACTTTGCTGACGCGTCAGCCATTTGCAACATCCAGAGTCCGAAAAGCGATGAATAAAGCGAATACCAGGAGGCAAGTTGAACATGAGCTGACATTGCAATCACGCCGTACATACAGCCGCTATTCGCATTACCGCCTCCAGCCCCGAACCGAACAAAGGAGATACTCCTCGCAGCATGCAAAACCAAGCAGAGACCCTGACACCTGTAGAGACAAAGCAGACGTAAAGTGAGCGACTTCCTGGACGCCAAGTTTGGGCATTTGCATCATCTCGTCTTGTATCCCACGCGTTAAACGTGAAGCGTATTGTATCGTAGTCCTGCTCGCCATATCCGAGCTTTCCCCCCCTCGCTGCTTCGCCAAAACATGCATTGCAACCCGGCGCAAACAGATTGTAGGTGAAGAGTATTTGTAGATTTTCGTTATCGTCTAGCAGCATCCCTTCTTCTGCTCCGCGTCGGCCGACTTGCTGATCTCGAGCACCTTGCGGTCGTTGCCGAGGACGGGGCCGCTACCTTCGCCCTGGTCGAGCGCTTTGCTTGAGACGATGCGGTAGATTTCTGGAGCAGTGTTAGCAACGGCTCATGCTAATGATATTTGCGGCTGAAGTGTCAACAAAAGTGGCGGTGTAAACACATGTCCACTTGGGCCAACCAATGTCACTCCAAGCTTTGCGCCAACCACTGTTGTCGCTGCTACTTGTTGTTTATAGTAGAGTAACGTACCTGTGAGAATGTTCTGGAAGGCAAGCTCGACGTTGCTGGCGTCCAAGGCAGACGTCTCGATGAAGGAAAGGTTGTTCTCGCCTGCGGAGAGTGTCAGCATACATGTCGAAGGCTGTATCTATGCAGACGCCACTGTCACAGGATGAGTAAACGTACTTGCAAACTGCTTGGCCTCCTCTGTTGGCACTGCCCGCAGATGCCTCAAATCGCTCTTGTTACCCACGAGCATGATGACGATGTTGGAGTCAGCATGGTCGCGTAGCTCCTTCAGCCACCTCGTCACGTTCTCATATGTCTGGTGCTTGCTGATGTCGTAGACAAGCAGAGCGCCGACCGCGCCACGGTAGTATGCAGAGGTGATGGCACGGTATCGCTCCTGGCCGGCGGTATCCCAGATCTGGGCCTTGATGGTCTTGGCGTCAACTTGGATGGAGCGGGTAGCGAATTCGACGCCGATGGTCGACTTGGAATCGAGGTTGAACTCGTTGCGCGTGAACCGGCTCAATAGGTTGGATTTACCGACACCAGAGTCTCCGATGAGCACCACTGCGGGGGTTAGCGGGCGACGAGACCAGGAAGACTAAGGTAGGGGGAAAGTAGGTACCCTTGAAAAGAAACTATGTGCACTATCATCAGTATGCAAGAACACATAGGGCCGCTGTCGTACGGAGACTCACGTCATATTCGTCGTTCGCCATTGTTGCGGTAGGTGGGGAAGTGGCAGGTGGGGAGGTGGAAGTCTCAGTCGATGTGTCGGCGAGAGTCGTGAAAGCAGAGCCTGGATATCTTTGGGGTATCAAGGCAAGCAGAAAAGCTCAGAATCAGGTCGTCGTGGGTAGTGGCCAAGTACTGCGCTATCTCGCTGCCTCGAGGAGTCGCTGCTCCACCGTCAAAGCACCAGCCAGCACCCCAGGAGCGAACAAGCCTATGCCTTCTTAGGTAAGCGAGGCGCTAGTCTCCGCGCCCTCGCTCATTCCAACACCTCCATGTCTGCTTGCGTCGCCGCAAACATCTCGCCTTTGGACATGCACCTAGGTAGACACAGTTGCCCTCTAGTTTCTTGTTGCAACCCGAATGACAGCAGCGACCCGACGCGTAATCAGAGAAAGACCTCACGCGTTGTCTGCTACTGCCCTTAACCAATCAGAAGCTGGCATAGCCATTCACCTCTATAGCGTTCGCCAGAATGTCACTGCACCCTGATGAAGACGAGCTCGAGGAAGAATACGACGTAGAATGTATTCTGGCGGAGAAGTGGCAAGACGCCTGGGATGTGCATCCGTTCGGCGCGGCTACAAAGTACTTGACCAAATGGGAAAATTATCCACTTGAGGAGTAGGTCTGCCTCGTGGTGTAGTTGAATCAAGCTAACCAGCCTTGAAGGTGTAAGTATTCTACCATTGCCCCTCACAACTCTATAGTCCCTCTGAAGAACAGGACCAAACCGTGCACCGTTCCGTTCCAGACAAGCATCCATCGCGTATCTCTGACGTGATTTAGGCACTTGGGAACCAGCAGTCAACTTCGAGAAGATTACGTCACTACCAGATGAGCCCACAACCACTACCGCGTTGGAACTATGGAACGAAAAGAAAGCGAGTATGAAAAAAGTTGATTTCAAGAAACTGTGCGAAGATAACATAGCAAAATATGAGGCAGCACTCAACGGCCAACAAGAGGTATCACTTCTGGAAGCTACTCTCGCAGAAAGAGAAGCTGCAGACTCCAGTCAACTCAATCACTTGTTTGCGGGAAGTTCTGCTACGGAAAACTCGGGGCTGTTTGTCAGACAGCCTCCTAAAGCGCGTAAGCCTCCTATAGTGCAGTCAGAATCCTCTTCTTCCGAAGGAGAGTTGACAGATGACTCATTGATGGCAGAGATGGCTACAACGTCGGAAAATACAAGGCATACGTCCATCGGCGTGGAGAGTTCTAATATAGAGCGCCGGCCAATCCAAAATTCAGCTCAATCACCCCGTACCTCATTGAAACGTGCTACGACTACTCCAAACCCGAATTCAGTCACGAAACCAAGTCTCGCAAGACCAGCAAAGGGCCAAGAGCCTCGAAGATCTTCACTGCCGCAAGCAGACTCAGGTTTCCGAGATAAGCAAACGACGACAGTTTCTACACAACGAAAAAAGAGTAACAACGGTAAACCTACGACCGCTGAAGCTGGTAGTGCCTCCGCTGCTCATGACACTCTGCAATCCAGTAGTACGAGCTCAGGCGCTGCAAAGCGATCAGTCTCTCTTGCGACGCAGCCAAGTGCCCTTAAGACCACAACTAGCTCAGGAAAGAGTAGTGGCATCAGAATCGTAAACGAGCCCAAGCCTCAACCTCGTCAAGCTACTGCCTTGCCAAAGAAAACTCATTTTCAGACACTCCGTCGACACCACGAGGTAGACATGAGGTCCCGTAGGGAGGGCACACCCGATGTTGCTGCTCTCAATTTCGTCAATGCCCCACCTGATCTCATCGCCCCAAAACTGCCGGCACCACACCATGATCCATACGCTCGTCGTGACCCTATTCATAGGCGTATCATTGCAGAAGAGCCCCAGAACGATGAGTCTCCAAGGCAAGAGTCTACTGATGGGAACATACCCTTAGCACCCTGGGAGATTGACAAAGTTCCCCAGGTGTGTTACCAATGGAGGCTTAGCCAAAACTGCACGAAAAGTGCGAGGGAATGCCGCTTTATGCATAGGCATAAGGATGAAAAGGGCCGCGAGTATTCTATAGCTGATATGCAAGGCAAGATACCCGGCAAATACCGCAAACCACCACTCACATGTCCGTTTTGGCTTAACGGGCAGAAAGGTTGCAGAAAATCCGCCAAGGATTGTCTCTTTGCTCACCAAAATACTGGATGGATAAAGCATAGCGATCCCTCAATGGGCGATGTACGAATTGATCCTGACCAGCAACCGAAGCTTGGTAGTATAGAAGACCAGCTGGAAGAGAAGAGGACTACGAGGTCTTTAAATCCGGATCAGCTTACTTGCTGGTACTGGAACAGAGGCGATTGTCGAAATACAGAACAGGAATGTGCTTACCAGCATAGAGAGACTGGCATTGTTGCAAATGCACCACATGAAGGCCATCAGACATCTGATACTATACCAGATGTGGATGACGATATGGATATCGATGATGCCGTCCAACCACCCACGACCAATGAAGCAACACGCACCCCTTCTCCCATACCATCTGGACAACCACAGCAGTTCTCGTTTCAGCCACCACCTCCGCCTCCGCCTCCACCCATCACAAATGAGGTCAAGATTAAATGCGAACAGTTGCGGACGGCCGGAGGATCAGTCTGCACATTGGACTTTGAGGATATTTTTGCGAGCAATGGCAGCGAGGAAGCTGTCAATCTGCTTGAGAGTAGGGTTTTTCTAATGTACCATCCCGAAGACCATTTTGAAGAGTTGGAGATCATTACTCGATGGTTATTATTGCACCATGTCCAGGTTGCTAGTACGAGCTATCAGGGTGCATGGGCTGTTTTCAAGCAGCAAATTTTGCAAGGAGGTTCAGGCATCATTATAGTGCGTAATCACACATTGCGAGTGAGACTAATGCTAAACATATCAGGCACATCCGGACGTTGAATACTTCACAGCATTTCCCGGTTTCGGCGAAGTTCTTCGTCAGAACGTCCGTCTCTGGTCGGTTGGGCTTCAACCAAGTCTCGACTACGACCATGCTTTGACAGATGGTCTTCCCGTGCTTCAATATGAGCGCATTGAAATTTTCCCACTTGGCGGATTCGTTTACATTACGGAGGAAGTCTTTGAGACGAAGCCACAACTTGCTTTGGAAATTGTCAAGCTTTTCTTCGCAAAGATAGTGAGTCTCAGAGGGCGCGCAGGCCCGTTGGCTCCATGGCAAGAAGTCGACGACGCCAGCTTGTTGTGGCGGCTGTGTGTCCGGCCAGAGTTGATGGAGTATCTATTTCAGAGATGCGAAGACCATGCAATGGATGTGAACGCTGGGGATGTTGACATGCAGAGGTTCGCCCACTACACTCGACCCAATTTGATTTATTGCTAAATTTGACGCAGTTGTGCCAAGCTCTACTCGCTCCTCGCCGAAACCAACTACATCGAGCAAGATGATCCGGTTGTTCCACTAAGCGCTGTAGCCGACAAATATCCCATACTCTCCGAGCGCCGGGCCATCGCCGAATGCGAGCCTGTGGATTACTTCAACACAGTCGCTCGTAGCAAAGAAGCCGCCAACCTAAACATGATCCGCTACTATGCTGGACTGCAAGTCGACATGCGTCGCGACTATCGCCATTTCTACGTCGTCCATACCGAGCCAAAGGCAAAGTATATCCAAGAATGGAAGCAAGAGATTCAGACCATTGCCGATGTCATCACACCCGAGCAATGCATCAATGAAATGCTAAAGGATGGGCAGGACAGCATGTTTGACTTTTACGAACGCTTCATGGCAGACAACGAGAGCTCCAAGGGAGTAGTCAAAGATGGTGATGCAACGACGCGTGTAGGCTAGAAGTCTAAACGTGTCAGTGAAAGTCTCCTGGCGGAGTTTGAGTAATGGGCAAAGTTATCAGAACCACTTTTGTAGAAGTCTTCCGGGTCGTACGAAGTCAAGTTGCGACTTGCTCTCTATAGGTACGACTTGATGACATTTTCGTTTCCTTCTTAGTGTATACGATACCCTGTGATAGCGTACTAGGAAAATGTTTAACGAGAATAATCATAGGTTCACATGAGCAGATATGGTACGAATGGTGTTGATGGATATATCCCGTGATGCCTCCTGATAGATGGGAAAAGCGATGAATGAAGAAGGCAAGTTGGGTATCATTTACTCCACGTTAATGCCTAGCAGGATTATTTCTTTTTACCCTTGGTCTTATCTACAACGTCCACCCAATTCTTATGCACACCTCGCTTCTCCAAAGCCTTCATGATGGCGTCTTTCTGAGGACCCTGGACCATGACTTCCATAACAGGGGCTTTGGGGCTTGATCCTTGCAGTTTATCGACGCTCGTACTACCTGCACATGTCTTTCTCAGCTCATCGGCGAGCGGCTGTGGTGAGATGTAGTATGGTTCTAGACCATGCACCTTGGTCACTGTCTTGTTACCACTGCGCGTTTCCAGCGTGATTTGAATCTTGGGTGGTGCACCGGCTTTGGGCTTCGCATCAGCAATGTCGGCGTCGTTGCGGATGATGGCGTGGAAGGGGGATGCCGCAGCGACCATGCGTTCAGCCAGGGAGTCTCTGGGCATGACTCCTGACGACAGCGCGGCGTTGTCAGCTGCTGACGAAGCGAGTAAAGCATCTGCGAGCTGGGGGTTGATGCGGATGAGACGCTTGTTCTTGGGGTCGATCAAGTTCTCCGCCTCTACGTATGCAATGAGAAGCTGCTTCAGCTCCGCTGGGGTGTAGAGACCGCGCGGGTCTGCTTTGGAGGCACCCAGTATAGGCGCTAGTTTCTCCTTGGGCCGCAGTACCGAGACAAGCTTTAGCTTTTGGCCAACGGAAGACTCGGCGGATAGGGGTGCAGCTGGCTTGCCGTTTGCACTCGCTGCGGCTGGGGTATCCTTCTTTGGCAACCTGTAGGGAACGAACGACTCAACCTGGCGATCCTTGAAATCAATATCGAGTACAACAACCTCATTGCCGTCGCGGTCTTTGCACTTGACAATCTGTTGCTTGTCTAGATACTTGATAAACTTCTTGAGGTTCTTCCAACTTGTCTTCTTGATCTGGAGCGAAGCGGTGCGCGCGGGGGTGTAGGTGGGGAGGAATGGTTGGACGAGCATGTTATTGACGTTTGATTGCGAGAGCGGGAAGTCGAGGCCGTAGGAAGGATGGCCCTTATTGTGATCCATGTGGTAGCGGACGCCGTACAAGAATGCGTTCTTGAAAGCTTCATCGATTTCTGAAGCTTGTCAGCAGATGATTGATGTAGTGAAGAGGAAAAGGCATACCCTTGGTTGTCAGCTCTTTATCTTCAAGAACGTCGATGAAGTCATTGTTAGATGGCGCATCTTCGCCTTGCACACCCTGTGATTTCTCCGCCTCTGACCGTTGGGTGGGAGTGGCATCGAGAGTAACACCGCCGTCCTCGTCATCCAAGTCTACGGCTGCGGTGCGTTCAGCGAGACTCGCCTCGTCGCCATTGTCGTCGTCCCAGCCCTCGAGGATACCAGGAGGCTCACTGCCCGCCTTGCCTGTTGAGCTCCAAGACCACAGCTCGTCGCCTGCCCAGTGGAAGGTAGAGACAGCAATGCCCTTGGTGCCTTGGGTTTTGCCCAGCGCGCTCACGTCGATGGTGCATTCGCCAACGGCCATGGGGACAGTCGGAGCCTCGAGACTTGCAACGGCGACGATTGTGCCCTTGGTCGCTCTCTTGGGGAAAGGCGGGCCTCGTTGAAGACCAGGCGTCATCAAGTCGGCGCCTCCTTGCATCTTCTCGACGACGACGAGTGGCGTGTATAGCAGCGGGACTATGCGGGGGTTGTGCCAGAGGGTGTAGACGGTAGGGTACATCCTGTCGCCAACCTTGACCCACAGGACTCTCTGATGTCCGCCTGTGCCCTCATGGCTGCCTACGTATATTGTTCCTGACACTTGCTTGAGGTCGGGCCCTGCGGTGGTGGTGAAGCGCGCCGACAGGGCATTCTCTGGGAGTATTGCTTTGCGCAGTGCGGTCAGGCCGGCGGTGGAGGCTGTCTTGTCTTCAGGACTCGCGTCGGTTTCTACGGGAATCTCTATGCCAAAGTCGGCGATGATCTGGTCGGCGGTCCTGCGGCGGTCGCTAGACTTGAGCGGGGAGAGGGGCTTGATCTGGCGAGGGTTAGTCTGAGCGCGAGTACGTGCGGAATTATTCCTACAGTTGGTTTCTTCTTGAACATGTTGAATTACGATGCTTCTGCTGCAGTCGCTGGATGTCGTGAGCTAGGGCGGGACTCTGCGCGCGTCGGCCACAAATAATGTTGGACGCGGCGACTGTCCATGACTTCAGCGGGGCAGCTAGCGCGTTCTCCCCAAGGCGTCGCCATGTGCCTCACTCACCGTGACTGAAGGCTGCATGCAGCATGAGTCGAAACTCATCGAAGCTCCCCCCTCATGCTGACTACTCACTACTCACTACTCATCTGCCGAACCTTTGCGCCTGACATCGTCGCCAACGCCACCTTGGCCGTCGCAATCATCGCACTCGTCCATGCACAGAAGCTTTGTGCTGGACAATTATGCAGTACGAGGTCCACGGATGACCCAGAGACCCGGTCGTCGCATTAGACTTTTGTCACCAGCGAAACTATCGCATTTGCGAGTATCGGATTTGGGTGCCGAAGCTACTTTTTCCTTGGTTGGGCTTTTGTTGACGTCGGGAGATTAACCACACCTGCAGGCGCGTGCTGGCCTCACCTGTCGATCCTGAAATCATAACGCTCCTTAGTCGCTTCAGGGCCCAAGACGTCCCTCGGCAGCGACACCAACACCACCATGTACACATGCCTCGACCATTATAGACCATTGGCCTATTTGCGTCGGGCACAGCCTCCGGATAAAACCATCTCACCTCATGTACTCCATAGCCATCTGTCGTCGCAAGCTGAGCAGAAGGGTTTACCTGTTGCAGCTGTTGTGCAGTCACGTTACAGAGACGCCATTCGTTGCTCGTTTGAGACATGTTCTTTGACGTACTACCACCATTGTCCTCCACACAAAGAAGGACGCTTAGTGATGGACTATCCTTCAAGCGAAATCAGCCTCGCACACGAAACGACTAGATGCAAGGAGATGAACAATGTAGATAGACTTCGTCCCCAGATTCCAGGACACTGGCCCAGGCCGCAGCGTCGGTTGAGCCCCATGTCGCTCACCCGCCGCAACATCCATGCAGCATGCACCTGCCAGCACTCGGCGTTAAGGTAAGCCAGTTCCGGTCAAGGCGTGCTGAGCTTCAATTTTTAGCCGGCCAGGCACCACAACGCGTGTGTTTGTTACATGGTACGCACCTCTGTGCTGCCATTTACCGCTTTCACAACAGCTGGGGGAGTTTTTTTCGCACGAGCTTGCGCATCCAGTCCCCATTCCATTGCGGAAGTCGGACTGCAAACACTGCAGTGGTTCGTGGTGGCGGGGGCGTCAGCGAAAGACTTGCCGGGCCAGCCAATGGCTCAGGGCCTCGATGCTATGTCGACAACGGCTGGCGTATTTACAGCTTCGACAAACACTTCTTGGCCGCGTGGTGCCAGTGGCCGACTGAGCGCCACGGCCATGATTCAGTCGCACTACGCCTTGCTTAGGCAAAGCACCAACATGCACGCACTCGGGCCCCCGGAGCCTCCAGGATGACCGTCGCCCGTAAAGGTCATGGCGAGATGCGGAGAACTGGCGCGCCACGAGAAACGCCCAGCTGCGCCCGTTTGTTCTTGTGCTCATTCCCCATCTTTCCTCATAAACCCGTCCTTGTCGCTCACACCCACGCCTGCCATGGTAAAAGTGCTGAGATTGACTTTGAAGCTTTTCGCGTTGTGACATCACAGCACGCTTCCTCGGCATCTGCCCCGGCTTCCGGAACCGACATCGAAAATTCTGCGAACACCATGAGTCCCATACCGGATATGCAATGGAAGGAGCATGAAGTGGTGCCCAAGCCCAGTGACCCAGAGGAACTCATACTGGAAGCATGGGCGCAGGGCTATCTGGTTGGGTCCCTCATCATCATGGCCTTCATCACGCTGGCCAACATGAGGCGAGGCGTGCTGTTGCACAAGGTTAGTAGAGAAGCCCTTTGAGCAATGACCACCGCTGACAACCATCTAGTTGATTCTACTCGAAGTGAGTCCACATTAATACGTCTGCTTACGTCCGTACTGATCAATTCTAGCTCATCCTCGGCATATGGCAAGGATTTTGGCTCTTCTTCCCCAGTCCAGTCCACGCGTGGTGGCTCTCCGTTGCCGCCATCTTCCTAAACGCTTCATGGTCTCTGCATAATGTCATTGCCTGGATGAAGATTAAACCATTTCTCTCCAAGCCTGTCAGCTACATCTTCATCGGCACTGTAATCCTCGCTCAGTCATACTGGATCCTGGAGATATACGCCAACTTCGCCTACTTCCATGGCGTTAACAAGATATTTCTGTCTACACGACCGTACGAGGCGCTATGTCGCGATCCTTGGTGGATTTTCACCACCATCTATCTCTTCTGGGTCATCAAGACCCAGTACGAACTGAGCCTCAAAGAAATCATACGCATCTCGCCACGTTTCGGCATCATGTTGTTGTCCATGTTGCTCAGCATAATCTTCATCATCCTAGACATTCTTACCGTTACTAGGGCTATTGGTCTTCCAGGTCCTACAGGCATCAATCCCTTCTGGAAGTTTGCATTTGTCTTCAAGTGCCTGACGGACTCTGTTGTTCTCGACGATTTCAAGGTGGCGCTCGACCGCCTGCGAGCCTTCAGGATCAGTCGATTGGGCAGCTTTTCGGGTGACATGAGCGATAGTCGGAGTCGTCCTGACAACAACCTTGTCGCCACGTGGGAAGAGATGGAGAGGGAAGCCAATGCGCTTCAGAATGTGCGCAGCCCAGATGGCGACTACATACATCCCAGCAACTTCCCATACAAGCCAAAGCGGGCGCGCAGGCCTCACAAAGACTCAGTCATGTTTCCCAATCAACCGGATTACCGGGACTCTAATGCTGGATTGGATCCGGAAGATATCGTACCCAGTGCGTTAGGTGACGGTCCAATGAGGGCGGATGCACAACCCGTGCAGAAGAAACAACACCAATTTATTGACGACATGGTCAACCACAACAGAAGAGATTTGGTTGCTGAGAACGACTATGCTGAAGCGATGAGGGATATGCAGCGAGATAGTGTATCCACACCTATTCGAACGAGTGAATCTACCCGTCGAGCCACGCCACCAGGCTGAACGACAAAGGAACCTTAACACTCGACACGTGTTGAACGACTCATCAGCAACCGGGAACGGGACGGCACCCATCAGGTCGGCTATAGACATGCCTACCCATGTGGTACACGAGCTCACCAGATGCGACCTCAATCCTTGCGCACACCACAATCGGCGCAGTGGACAGGCATAGCCCAGTGAAGGCTATACACAGATTTGGGCGGCGGTGGAAGGATAGAAGCAGTCAGTGATACACTTTTGCGAGTTGAAGTGATGACAAGCGGCATGTTGGTATGACGGCGTTATGTACATGCTTGCAGGCATTGGTCAAATTGGCCACATCTATATACCCATTTGCTATTCAGTGATAAGCCATATGCTATATTGCATACGAACTAGGAATCATATACAGAGACACAAACAAATAATTACTATTTACCATCTTGGAGAATACTTGAAGTACCGGTCGATCAGCCCTTTCTACATACGATCCATGACCTTTCTTCCGAGTAGCGTGCTTTCTTCCGTATTTACTTGCAACTCGTCTACACTTTGAAGGCTGGAAACGTCTTCGAGCGAAAGGTATCACTTGTGACCGAGAATAATGGCGTAATGAATGGAAGTGAAGCTGGCGTAACGGTGTTAGTTTTAGCTGGTATTTCAAAACCTCACCGTACCTCGAAGGAATCTCTGGAGAGTGAAGATCAGAGAGACTAGGTTGTCAGCCTAAAGGCAAGGGTGTTGACCGCGGCTGCAACGAGGCTGAGCTGCAGCCATACGCGTCGTATCTAGGTATTCTGGTTCGATTGGTCAAGATCAACGTACAAGAATACCACAACCGACGACCAGTGGTGAGCTGAAAATCCCAGTCGTATTGATACCTGAAAGTATGCATGTATTGGATTCACTGTCCCAGAAGAGGTCGTAGGCTAAGTCGATGGTCTGTCAGATGAGCTGCGCGATTCAGACACGTGCTGCTGACAAGCTAAACTCCAAGTCGCTGAACTGAACGACTATGTGCTGAGATCACTTAGAAGGCAAGTAAGTTGCGAATCGATAAAGCCGATCTGCGCATTCGTCCACATGCTTCTAGCGCGGAACATTCCGTGCCTCGGCTCGCGATTAGGCAATGCACCTGAACCTTCGCAAGGGATGAGGTGTCATATGCTGACGATTGGTGTACAAGAACGTGTCCGCTCCTTCCTGTCGTTCATTACATCAACAGCTGCCTTCTGGCATGGTCACAATGGCGCAGACGGCTAGCATCGTCGTTGCGGGCGCGTCGATAGCAGCACTCGTGTCGCAACCTGCGCTGAGAGGCAACCTGATGGCTATGCTCGCCAAATGGACAGGATACAACGCGCCCGGAGGTGTGTGGAGGATAGCAGCGATTCTTCTCGCATTAGCCAACCTCAAGAATTTGCCGTTCGTATGGCATGTACGTACTGAGCGAAATACTTGGAACCGCAACATCAAGCTGACTGACATAGCTACGCTTCATTCGTGCCTTCTTCTATCAGCTCTATCTCCAACCGACCCCGATCCCTCCGCATGCGCTCTTCCAACCGATCATAACCTCGACCCGCACTACGCTCCTCGAAACAGACTACAACATGCACAAGTCCAACAGCACTTACTTCAGCGACATGGACATATCACGTACACATCTCTTCACTGCACTTATCCGTAACGGTATCAGGAAGAACAGTCGTCTCTATGGCGCCAAGAAGAATGCAGTAGCAGGAGCAGTAGGTGCAACTGAAGGCACACGGGGTAAGCACATGATCGCGCTAGGTGGCATAAGCTGTCTGTTCAAGAAAGAGATACTGCCGTACAAGAAGTACGAGATGTGGACAAGACTCCTCTGCTGGGACAGGAAGTGGTTCTATCTAGTCACACATCTAGTTAAGCCCGGTGTAGGACAACCAGAGAGCTGGACACTGCAACCTTGGAAGAAGTCTAAGAGCAACAAGGACGTGGATCTCGAAAAGCTGAAGGGCGCTGTATATGCAACTGCGATTGCAAAGTATGTTATCAAGAGAGGCAGAATTACAGTCCCACCTGAGCAGGCGCTGATCGATGCCGATATGGTCCCAATGAAGCCAGAAGGCTGGGTCTATCAGGGACAAGTACCTGAAGAATATGAAGCGAATGGCGATGTTCTGCCTAAGGCTGTCGAGGCGAAGGATTGGAACTGGGACGTTATCGAGGCAGAGCGACTAAGGGGCTTGAAGGTGGCTGAGAACTTTGCAGCAATGGACGGCATGCACGACTTCTTTGATGGCGGAAAGGATGGGGTTTTGGGAGAATATCCGGATTTGTTATTCTGATTGGGGTTGATTCACTAGAGAGAGCTTGATACCCTAGATCTAAAGGCAGGCTTGCGACATAGAACGGCGAGGCTGATGTGAAAACGTACTTTGGAAAGCCGATAGGCATTATGACATTTACATGGGTAATCTTCTCACGCACGTTATCTGCTTCACCACCATTGGCAGAGGCGGTTGTCTCCATGGTTGGTATAGGGAACACTAGCGTTGCGCTAAGCCACTGGTGTACTCCGGGCCTGCGCCGCCTTTTCCAGTGCTGCGGTTGATAGTCACCGGTCACCATATGTAGCGGGCCAGCTATATGGGGCCGCGACCCGCTGGTTCAGCCTTATGGCTCTCAGACTTTGATGCCTTTATGCGACTAACATAATCCACTGACCAGCAGAGCGCAGGTTTTCAAAGGCACTCACACCGAGCTCATAGTCTTTCTTCTGGTACTACGATACATCCGCATAACGGACACCCCAGCAGTCATGGCCGCAACAACAAGCGTTTCTGGAATCGGAGGTCCAGACATGGCTTACATCGGAGAACTTTACGAGAATATATCCCGACATCCACCAGGCATAGGTGCTAGAAAGCTGCTTATTGAACATTACATGTCAGTCGGCAACGAATGGTTAGAAGGAGCATTAGACGAGGCAAAGAAACTTCAGAGTTTGGATCCAACAGACTCTGATGTTGCCGAGTTCTTGAAGATTCTCGAGAAGAAGCCAGAACCTCCAGCGCCCGAAAAGAAGGCAGCCGAAGCCAAGCCCGCGTCTTTGACGCAATCACGGGGCGAGGTTATCAACAATGTCCGACATAAGGCTAAACCGATACGTAAACGTGAATCAAACCACTCGGACTTGATCTTGGGAAAGCCGGTCGGCGATTTGGACGATTCGCAGCGAGACCTGGTCATTGGATACCAAAATATACGTGCAAAGGCAACTCACGTATTCGCTAACCTGCTACGTCTACAGGCCCTCCAGAGGAAATCCGGCTTGCCCCAATCCAAAAACCTCGGCAAAGTCCATGCTATGGTAGATGGTGACGATAACGCCACCTACATTGGGATGCGACCGCCTGCAAGTGCTCGTTCTGTAGCGCGCAATGTTCGGAACAATTCCAAAGAGGCCACCAACCTTGTCATAACAGATCTGGAAGACATGCTCAAGTGGGTTCGCGCGCCAAATGGCACGCCTTCAGGCGCAAGTATCGATTCCATCCGCGATGCTCTTGTCACACGCCGGAGAGCAATCGAATCGGCGCTTCCTGATGAGCTAAAGATCCATTGCGAGCTAGGCTTCATGCACGTTGAGCATGAACATCTCGAAAGAAATTATGTCAATGACGAGACTATGCTCGGAGACGAGGTCAAGGATATCGCAAGGGAGGACTTCTACGTAACTGAAGACAACTACGCGTGGTCGATGGATGGTGCGTAATTCTACATGTGCGAACTATACGTGCTACGTTTGCTGACTTCATAAACCCTCTTCAAGAACTCGTTCAGGCTATACAGGCAAACAGTGGTATATTTCGGAACCCTCTCAGCAAAGAGATGTTCACACCGAAAGATGTCAAGGGAATTCTCCTACATCCAACAGGCCGCTCTTTAGCGGCTCTCCGCGTTGAGCAGCACAAAATGTCCAAGGGTGTGCGGACTGATACGATCGTCCGGATGGAGAAGCTATCAGCGGTTTTGCTGGAAGATCAAAGTAGCGATAACCTCCCCAGTCGAAAAGCAGTAGACGAGTTTCTTCTTTATATTGCAACCCGTAAGTCATCGCTTAAGACGATGGCGCTCTATCAGCTAACGTCGTAGCAGTGCCAGACCTTGAGCAGAAAGCGATAGAAAGCCTTAAATGCCCTGCCAAAGACTCTCACACCGGACAGTATTATGACTTCACCATCGGTGAGGCAGTACGGGACGCAAAAGGCAATCTCGTATGTTTTCACAAGACGGGCGATTTCATCAAGCAAGCCGCTGCACACTTACGAAGGAACTGTGGTGTCGCCCCAGACACAGAGCAAGGGAATTGTTCAGCCATGTAAGAGCTTATAGTAGCTTCTTCGGCTCAGATATTAACCCTGTGTATTTCGCGATAGTGGTTTAGTGCCTTCTTGGGTGATACGTTATGCCTAACGGCTGTAGGCGGCTGTAAAGATATGGGCTATGGTCAAGCACATCACACAGACAATCATTTCAATGGTATTCTAGGTTACGGCCTTAAGTATGGAGATATTTTGCGATTGGATGATGCCGGTTTCCGGCGCGGCACCCAAGGACCTTTAGATCATACAGCCCACAAGGCATCCCCACACCCCACTTGCTAGGCTCATCTGCCAAGTGTTTTCCGCCAGTGGTCCTCTACATTGGATTCCTATGTTCGTATATTCGCTAACCGTTGTCTAGTACCGTGGTCAGCCTAACCAATCGCCATGGCCCTAGCTGTTTTGGGAGCCGGTCAACTTACATTCGGTACAAGCCACCCTATTCAGCCTTGTGCGCAGCCACGAAGTCTTGGTTTCCTGCAGTAACAGCCCACTCAACACATGGACAGCATACCTAGGTACTCGATTGGACTTATGCTTTCGAAGTCACGCCCAAGAATGGGTCTCCAATATCTGATGTTCGTACTTGCTCATCAGGTTCACTTACCTCAGCCGGTTGGCTGTACCTCCTCGAACACTACCAAATCTTTTGTTACTCCAGACCTTGCTGGTCTCCCAATCATACCAAACAAGCACGGGTGGGTCGTACTCTTAGGCGCATCGCCCTGGATAGTCACAATTTGCTCGGATGTTCTCATATCTCTTTCCCAAGTACCAGATCCATAGATACTTTGGCACGAACCGTTCGCGACAAAACTACAAGCAGCCCTGTCTTCTAGTCCCACTTTATCACATATTCTTTGGCAAAAAGTAAATATTACAAAGACACATGACAAGCATGGACGCCGCTATTATCATCCCTCCTGTAGCCGGACGAACCACCGACAAACGCTCACGTATGTCCTGGGCCAAGAGAACACTCCCCTTGAAAAATCCCACATTCTTCAAGAAGGTCGAAGACAGTCAATTATGGCATGAAGAGGTGGAGGCCACTGCTGGGCAACTGCACCCCTCAGATCCTCGGTTCCCATGGGGCTTCGTCCGTAACCACACCGATACCTATCTCAAGAAGAAGGGCAAACTTAGTCAGGAAGATACAGATATAAGACTGACAAAACTGGTTCAAACACATCGGACAAGAGATATCGCAGTAGCTGCTGTAGCACATGCTATGACAACGCAAAGCCTCAGCCTGTTGCTACTTGCTGAAACGAATATCGTATATGGAAGTTACTGGGGTCTCGACACATGGCTACAGAGCTTGATAGCCGCGAATGAAGGCAACCCTGCCTCAACAACACGTTTAGAAGCACAATGGGCACGTATGCTTCTGCCTTATTCCACTTTCGGCGCCAGCGCAGCCGGCCGCTACCTGAAGGGCGTGACGCGCGCCCTGAAGGAGTTCGAAACACGGAACATGCAAGGTGTCCTTGGTAACTTCGCGGCGATTCTACGCAGAGCCATAAAGGATTATGCAGCCCAACTGGAAGGTCACCGATTAACATGTGACTGGGTCGCAGCTAAGCAAGCAGTAGACTGGATGAAAACACTGGACGTATCGTTGCCTCTTGATTCATCAGGCACGCTCAGCATAGAAATTATCTTCGATGAGCAATTTCCGGCCTGGAGGATGTGGGCTTCATGGAGACCAGACGTCGATCGCCTCACACGATATTCCAAGTTAAACAGCAGATGGACGTCGACTGTCCTCGATCTGTTGGCCTTGGAAGGGCCTGATCTGGTTACTGGCGCCGAAAGGACATTACGCCATGGGTTGGTAGCGGACTATAGCGAGCAACGCAGATGGATACACTATCGTGGTCTGGTAATCGAAGTTCCTGAGCTTACAAGAGTATGCTTGGCCGCCGTGTTAGGAAGACTCTTGCGAGGCTTGGATTCAGTTTCTACGTCAATATCCTATGGTGAAAGCCTATTCAACCTCTTCCGATCTTTGACGACAGGACGAGCGATCACCAAGAGCGAGCTAGATCTTTTGGATGCGTCCCTGGAAATTGGCCATAAATCCAAAGACGATTACTTTGCCGCTGTTCGTAGAATATGGTCTGAGAAGGAGCACATTTGTGGAATGCATATCAGCCCCCTTCAACGGCTTCTTGTTATTCTCGAGGAACCTAAAGCGACAACTCTCCGCGAACTTTTCCTCCACGATTGGTTCCTTCACGGCTTTGAGGAATGCTTCCGCGAATGCCAACTTGTCATACGAGAGCAGGTCACCACCCCTGCTTGGCTACGTCTACTACTCGAGCTACATGGATTTTGTACTGCCGTTAAAGCATCCACACACGTATTTCCACAGCTGAGGCTTGAGTTCCAGACCAAGATGCGAGATTGGCCAAGTGACAAACGAATGACTTCGATCAAGGAGATCTATATCGCAGCTCAGAATTTGTGTTTAGATGAAGTGCAGACAAGGAATGCATTCGTTTGGATTGACCCTGACATCACCACTGGGTCCATCTTATCAAGATCCTATTCAGAAGACATCAAGGCGCGACACTCGATAGAAGTAATCATCGAGAAACACTGTCTCGACCACCTACTGAATATGGACGCGACTTGCAATATTGTTGACGGAGCGTTGCGCGATATTTTGGAGGTCTGGGAGAACACTGTGGAAGGAGTGAATGACAGTGACCGGCGCATGCTCGCAATCCTTGTTTCGAGAGATATAAGTCACTCTGTAGTACATCGCTGCGAGTGCATTTTTGAGCTTGCCGTAGATCTCGGTCTAGGTCAACAATCTACGTTTGTTGGGGACATGTTACGTATCGTTAAAGTGGCGGAGAATGATTCGCGGCAAGCCATCATTGCCTTGACGAACATTCTGGCCATCCGAAAAGGATGCACGCAGTGTTGGAGATCTCTCTTGTACAGATGGCTGGATCAAGACGATAAGCTCGAAGCAAGGAACGGAACTGCCCTCGTTGATTACTTGGCCCAAACGATGGACACTAAAACTTGGCTCTCGTTCATGCAATCGCTCGAGACACTCTTCAAGGATCTAGTCTTCTACGACACCGAAGAGCATACATTACCATCTTTATTGGACCCTCAGCTTCTTTCCTGGGTATCGAAGGTGAACAAGTTTAGTCGTACTCTGATGATTCTTGAAGACTTGGGTGGTGATTCCATCGCAGTACGCTCAATTCTTTCCTCAAGCAAAGAATCACAGAGAACAGAGAATCTCGCTATACTCTCATGTCTCCAAAGAGCTGAAGGTAGTCTATCCGAGGCGATCATGCAGAGGATCGTTATATGGTTATCCGGCAAGAGGTCGGACGTGCACGAAGTCAAAGAATGCTTGCACAAACTACTTGGCGCGGCTGACGACACCATACTAGCTTGTCAAGAAATTTTCGATGCGAAATTTGGCTTCTTAGATATACCCGGCCTTCCTACCCACGAACAAGCCGGTCTCAATAGGATTGTTGGGAGAGACTATGTCTTCTACGAGGGCACATGCAAACTATACAAAACCACTCTAGAAGGCGATTCGTCGACCCCCAAGGACATCGAACCACATTCACAGCACGTCTTTCCTAGAAGAAGATACGACATTCCATTAGCAGTGGCTGAGGTCATGGTCGCTGGCTGGATCCAAGACGACGGCGTGAAACCGGAGATGAAGACTATCATTGACTGCTTCGCTCGGTTGCTCAATTTGGAGGTATACAGTAATGCAATACCTGAAACGGAGCTTCTCAAAGCAACAGCATTCTGGGAGGGCATTGAAGCAGAAATTATGCGAGAAGCCGATCGCCTCGAGGGTCTGAAGCGAGCACTCAAGATGAAAGACCCTGTGGGTACCGCCCTATTACTTGAGGAGTATGACGTGCCTGACACTAGCTTCCTTGAAGAGGAAATACTGGAACTGCCTGCTGGTATTGTTGATCTAGTCGAGCTGATAGACGATGACGAGGTCGAGATGGGCTTCTCGCTCGCTTCGTACACTGAGCTACAACGAAGCGCCATGGGCGTACCAAGCGCAGCAAATAACTTACTCGTACGGTTGTATCTCAACCGTTATGGGAACACGCCGCCAAGATTCTGTACACATTACGACAGCGACGCTGATCTTGAGACTATGCAACATATCCCATGGATTTGCTATGAGTCGTCTATAGTGCCACACGAGCATGTATGCTTTTCACCGCAAAGTGTCTTCATATGGCAGCTTAACAGACTCATTCTGAAGCACATTATCAGCCGGGATGTAACGATAGCAGGGTTTTATTCCACCGTTTCATGTACCATCAGAGAAATGGGCCGCGTGTGTGTCTGCTGTGGAGCAGACCAAAAAGCGAAGAAGGCGCAATTACGAAGGTCGACGCCTTGCAGTCTTGTCGCATGTGCGCAGCTATGGTACGACGACATTACATACGAAGCTGCAAATAGTACGTTCGCTGATCACGAGCATCATAGGTATTCCCTCCCACTAGAGATCCGCATACCAGAAATTCGGACGGACATCTTCACCGTCGACATGCTCTTATCCTCTGTGTACAACGCAGCTTGTACCGGCTCCCTAAAATTCCTCCCAGACTGCCCTATACGTACAGCCAGCTCCATCAAAGCAATCCTCAACTCTCTCCCAAAGCTCTCTGTGATCCGTGACGCAGTCCACATCTCCAGAGTCCTTGAAAAGTACCATGCCGACGCTGAAAAGCTCATTTCATGGGCCTGTACGCAGTTTCGAGGCTATATAGCTACAGCGAGTGGGTTGTGTAAGATTAAAAACTTACCAATAGGTACCCATCAATTTGTGCTCGCGAATGCGAGTCCAAAGCTCGAAACAGCATACCTGTCCCGCCTACCGAAACCCTCTTCGGAAACTACAGTACTCTTTCATGGCACATCACTCGACCGCCTCCCGGCAATCCTTACCCAAGGCCTCGTCGTTTGCTCTGGCACATCTTTGGAACGCACCGGCGCCGTATACGGAAAAGGCATCTACTTGGCGGAAGACCCTGCGACTTCGTTCAGTTACTCGACTATCAACTCGAGCTGGCGTAACAGTGCGCTTTCCAATATGCGACTTATGCTTGGATGCGAGGTCGTTGGTAAGGGGAGGAGCGTGAGTCGTGGGATTCATGCATTGGAAGATGGACGTGATGTTATGGTGAGGTATGTTTTCCTGTTTCCGCATAATTCCGTAGCACCTGTGGCGAATCACATTGTTACTGCTATGGGGAGTGCAATGGCGGCATTGAGGACGGGCGTTGTATAGAATGGTGGATGCGAAAGCGGGACAGACTACACTAAGGCCTGTGAGTTGGACCTGTCTTATAATACAACGTGCTTCAAAAATGAGGGCAAACTGATCTCCTGGCTTTATTCATGCACACATGTAGATTTCATAGTATTCTAAAGTAGGATGGTGCTGCGCCGAATTTTCGTTCTAGTTGCTGTTGCGTACTAAAATGTGAAATTAGCGAAGTGGACGAACGATGCTACCTCGACACTAACACCAGCTCTCCACTTTGACCGGTAGAAACGAGATACTAATTTCTGAGCGGTTCATTCCACAAAAACTAGTATTTGAGTTAGTTCTTTCGCATTTTGGGAGCTTTCGGGGTCCATACTCCAGAGAGGCGAATGTGGGGCGGGTCACGCGATGCAAGGCATCGCACAGCACTGAACCATAGGCCATCAAAGGCCAACAGAAGAGCAATGTTACATCAGTTTACTCTAAAATATAGAGCTTTATCTCATTGATATTCTGCGAAACAATATACATTCAAATCTCACACTTGGCAGACACAACGGAAAAGGAGACGTAGTACTTGCTGATCAGCTGTATATGAGCATCCCTCAGACTTATTGATAGAGAGACATATGAATACAACATAGTGTTTGCCAACGTACTCCTTTCTTGGCTTGGCATAGGTGCCAATGTCTTGCGCATCGAACCGTTTCTTTTCATCATAGACGATAGTGAGCAAGTATCGACCAATTACAGATGGAGGTCGCCCCCAATAAATGTGCAAGAGCGATCAAGTACCGCAAAGTAACACACGGTGCAGTGCAATTAAGAAAAGTAACAAGGCGAGGTGGCCAAGATGATGCACAGACAGGAGAATACATGTTGTGTGGTACACGGTCTCCGCCGAGACTGTCGTCGACACAGAGACACTTGGCAGCGGAGGACAACTACACGTAATCTGCTGACATACTGTTCAGCGAGGAGAAGCAACGCGTGTACTACCGAATGCTTGGCTTGGCATCCCCACGGAGGTGGACTGTCTCATTTCTGGGGTAACTGCATTGCTGATGAGGATCATTCAGTGGGTAATCCATGTTCGTTCTACGACGACGATGATGTGGCCCTGAAGCGATGTCATCTAGAAACTATATCCAAACGAAACTGTCGTACGGCAATATGATGCACAACGACTGCTGTCTCAGGAAGGTCGTATGGTCTCATGAAAGTCAAGGGTTGAAAGTCCACGGCTCGGATAGTCCCGCGAGGGCAGCCAAGGACATGTCAGAAATCCCGCACTCAAGTGCAACGCTTGGAGAGGCTGGGCATAGTTGTCCTAAAGTAAAATGCGGCTGGTGAACGATAATGATCCGGACACAGACTGCAGAACTAAGTGCCCAGGCGGAGAAGGAGGAATCGCGCACAGCGGACACATTTGATCGCCAGATGGAGTTGGGTGTGCTCAACGCCAAGGACGATCTACACAGATCCGTCTGGCGCAAAATTGATCTGCTGCTTGGCGGGCCATCAAAAACCATTTTGAGGTGCAACGATAATTAGATTATTCGTGTGCTTGCCCAGGCGGCAGAATGTGTTGTTGTTTCGCGGCACTGATACGTAGGCTTTTGATGTGGGACACAAGAGCCGGTCAAGGAAACTTTCTCCACCAAGCGACCGATGCGCTGGAGCCAAAACGACACTTGAATTCGTCGCGCATGAAGGTATGGCAGAGCTGGCGCCAATCTAGGGATAGTTCCTGGGCAGCAACATGGACAGCAGCCGACGGAAGGCGTATGCTCTTCAATTGGTCATTGAAAAGCACAAAGTGCGCTTGGTTGAGCAAACGGGTGCGTTCGGCGTCTGCAACAGCGCCTGGCTGGAAGAAGACTTGAGTGAGGCGGCTCGTCAAGTCGGCTGTCCCTGCATATGTCTGGTGCAAGGATGGCGTGTCGCGAGCAGTTGCCGGTGAAGATAGTTTCAGAACAAGCCGGGCCTTAGTGTTTGCGGGAACAAAAGACGAGGGCTGGAAGCGAAACGATGGTAGCTGCACATTCGCGGCCTGATATTGGGGGGTTGGAGGTTGAGTATCACCACGGAGATCAGGAGGGCTGGCATCGTGAGTGAAAGTTTCCCGAGCAGTGGCAGGTGAAACGCGGCTTACAGCAAGGTCCTTAGTGTCTGTCCCGCAAAGCGTAGGCTGCAGGTACGCGAGACGTATCGTGCGAAGACATCTTCCGTCACATGAGCCAGAAAGGGACACGTCTGGCGCAGCACAAACCAGGCGAAACAACGATCGTCTAAATACATGATAATAATGTGCCATATCTCGACAGGTAAGACGTCGGGCGACATGGAAACAGCATGGCGCCGCACAGCGCGTGACGGTGGCGGACCGACACCGGTGGGGGTTCGCGACTCAGGGCTGCTCGGGGCAGACATGGAGAGGTTGGTGTCGGCAGCGACGGTGTGTGATATTTTGTGGGTGCGATGATTATTCCCGCACTCGTTCTGGAGGCAAATGCGGTGAGGCTCACTGGTGTACCGGCGAAGCATCGGCAGTCGTGCAGCCAGCCAAGGTAGGCGAGAGCCAGCGAGCCACACCCACAGGGAATGAGGTCACGTGTCACACCGTCGCGGCTTCCTCGTTGGGAAGGCCTTCCACGGTCTGGCTATGGGGCATAATCGCGCATGCGCCTCACCAATGGCAAAGCCAATCCATGGATGCAGCATGGAGGCTGGCCAGGTCCAGCCAACCAGCAGACCCTGCGCAACCGTCAAACTGTGGCATCGCAACGGCGCGGTTTGGACGTGTGGACTCGCAGTTTGTATTACCATAACATGGACGGTAATTGGGAGGCGTTGGCCAGGCGACGCAGGGCGAGCAGGGCCTCTGATTCGGCCGATATGGGACATGTAATGAATTGCTAAGGCTGGTTTGAGGCAGGCCCCGACGCGCCCCTTAGCCGCGAGGGCCGTGCTCAATCATGGAGTGCGGTGCTTTGTGCAGAAGCGTCGGCGGCCGATACGCGGGGGGCAGAAAACAATTGCTTCATCTGGGCATGCTGGTCGCGCGTATTGCATGGGGGGAGTCGGATATTATGGCGCGACGGATGCAGTTGAGGCTGATGGGATAAGTGGCATATCTTGGTTCGTGGGTCTGGAAGGCCGCTAGAAGAAAATTGTGCAAATGCAAAAGTCGCGCAGGCGTGGGGAGCAGCAGCGCTGGATACGCGGCTCTCTCGTACGGGGCGAAAAATGCCTCGCATGCGGGCTGGGTGGCTCGCGGTGGCGCCAAGCATTCAAGCTTTCCTATGTGTGAGGGCAGAAGCTTGGTGCCGCCAGAGTGAGCAAGGTGCGTGGAGGAGCTGTTTGCCGGACGCTCTTGCCAAAACGTCATGGGAGCTGATCCCTGCAGCGCTGCACGCTTGTCGCGGACTGTCGCGCTATCTCCAGCTTAATCTCTGCTGCCGCTGCTGAGTGGAGTAGAGCAAGAGTCGCGAACATGCGCCGAGGGAAAGGCAATCACAGCGTCTGGCACACTGGCACCGAGCCTGCCCTCGCAACTGCGCGCAGCCGGCACCCTCAATCGCCCTGCACAATGCACGGGATGGTAGTCAACGGCAGTCAGCCCTCCGTCATCAGCGCATCACCCTCGGCCGGTGAATGCGACGGCCAATCTCTGCTCGCAGTCGCGCGCCGATGATGTAGCGTATCCCGCACGGGCCGCATCTCTGCAAATTCACCCCCGGGACTCTCGGCTCGAGCTAATCCCCATCCATGGTTAGCTTTATGACAATCATAAATCCCTCATAGCGGCCAAAGGTCGGTCCTTGCTGAGTTTTTCCCTGGGTTGATACGTGGGTGAGTTCCTGCCGCGCTACTTAACCAGAGCCTCTCCCGCTCCCATTACATTTTCTTCACAGAGAAGGCCCTGCTTGCAGTTACCCATTTGCACAGCACATTCGACCTGACACTCAACCTCATCGTCAAGTCGCCTCGGAAAAGCCTTCTCTGTGCCTAGAGTTACCGGATATAATAATACATACGAGAAACAGCATTCCCTAATTCGACAAGATGGCGCCCAACGACGATGTTGAGCGCCCACGCGCGTCCAGCGCCGCTGAGCGGCAAAAGTCCATCGTCTCCATGACCGAGTTCGAGGGCATGGACGAATACACCGCGCTCCAGAAGTACATCCTCTTCTACCGCGACACCCGAACCAACCCTCACGCCGAGCAAACCACCAAGAAGAAGGCCTGGTGGCAGTTCTGGAAGTCTGGCTCAGCTACCGCTGCCACTCCCATCCAGGATGCCGGTGCCGTCCCCGACGACTGTAAGTTTCACCATCCTGCTCCTCACTCGATTGCATGCACCTGCATCACATAGCACTGCTGTTTGCGGCAGCGCTCAACCTACCTCGCCAATTCATCCTTTGTTGAGCTTTACCTCGACATTTGGTGGCTGGCATGGTCCGCGCTCAAGCTGCTCCCTGCTAGCGACGCGATAGCGGCAGAAATGGTGGAGCCAATCATGCAACCCGGCTCCACCAAACTACCCGCTTCTGCAGCATCCGAAATGAGCAACACGATCAAGAGGAATTTTGCTAACATGGAATTGCAGACCTCAACACTGAGCTCCGAACCGGTCTCACCTCGTCCGACGTTGAGCAGCGTCGCAAGCGCTATGGTTTCAACGAAATCTCTTCTGAGAAGACCAACCTTCTCAAGCAGTTCATCGGTTACTTCACTGGTCCCATTCTCTACGGTAAGCATCCCTGCACAAACTTGTTTAGCGCCAAACTAACGCATCATAGTCATGGAGCTCGCTGCTCTTCTCGCCGCTGGTCTTCAGGATTGGGTCGATTTCGGTGTCATCTGCGGTATCCTGTTGCTCAACGCCATCGTCGGTTGGTACCAGGAGAAGCAGGCTGCTGATGTCGTCGCTTCGCTCAAGGGTGATATCGCCATGAAGGCCACCGTCGTTCGTGACAACCAGCAACAGACCATTCTCGCTCGTGAGCTTGTTCCCGGTGACATCGTCGTTATTGAGGAGGGTCAATCCGTCCCCGGTGACGCCCGTCTTATCTGCGGCTACGACCACCCTGAGGACTTCGACTTGTACATGAAGCTCAAGGCTGAGGACAAGTTCCACGACGCTGACCCCGAGGACGAGAAGGATGACGACGTCGATGAGGAGAAGTTCGACGAGGAGAACCCCATCACTCAGGGCCACCCTCTCGTTGCTTGCGATCAATCGTCCATCACCGGAGAGTCTCTCGCTGTCGACAAGTACATGGGAGAAGTCGCCTACTACACCACTGGTTGCAAGCGCGGCAAGGCCTACGGTATCGTCATCACCACTGCTAAGCACTCTTTCGTCGGTCGCACTGCTACCCTCGTCCAGGGCGCTCAGGACCAGGGTCACTTCAAGGCTATCATGAACTCCATCGGAACGGCGCTTCTCGTCCTCGTCATGTTCTTCATCCTGCTCGCCTGGATTGGTGGTTTCTTCCGTCACATTCCTATTGCCACTGCCCGCGAGGGAACTGACAAGTCCGTCACTCTTCTCCACTACGCTCTCATCATGTTCATCGTCGGTGTCCCCGTCGGTCTTCCCGTCGTCACCACCACCACCCTCGCTGTCGGTGCTGCCTACCTCGCTGAGCAGAAGGCTATCGTCCAGAAGCTCACTGCTATTGAGTCGCTTGCTGGTGTCGATGTTCTCTGCTCTGACAAGACTGGTACCCTCACTGCCAACCAGCTCTCTCTCCGTGAGCCCTACGTCGCTGAGGGCCAGGACGTCAACTGGATGATGGCTGTCGCTGCTCTTGCCTCTTCCCACAACCTGAAGTCGCTCGACCCCATTGACAAGGTTACCATTCTTACCATCCGCCGCTACCCCAAGGCTCGTGAGATCCTCAACATGGGCTGGAAGACTGAGAAGTTCACTCCCTTCGACCCCGTCTCCAAGCGTATCACCGCTGTCTGCCACATGGGTGGTGACAAGTACGTCTGCGCCAAGGGTGCCCCCAAGGCCATTGTCAACCTTGCCAACTGCGACGAGGTCACCGCTACCCTCTACAAGGAGAAGGCCGCCGAGTTCGCTCGCCGTGGTTTCCGATCTCTCGGTGTCGCTTACCAGAAGAACGACGGTGACTGGATTCTTCTCGGTCTCTTGTCCATGTTCGACCCCCCTCGTGAGGATACCGCTCAGACCATCATTGAGGCCCAGCAGCTCGGTGTTCCCGTCAAGATGTTGACTGGTGACGCTATTGCCATCGCTAAGGAGACTTGCAAGATGCTTGCTCTCGGTACCAAGGTCTACAACTCTTCCAAGCTCATCGGCGGTGGTCTCACTGGTACTACCCAGCACGACCTTGTCGAGCGCGCTGACGGTTTCGCTGAAGTCTTCCCTGAGCACAAGTACCAGGTCGTCGAGATGCTTCAACAGCGTGGTCACTTGACTGCCATGACTGGTGACGGTGTCAACGATGCTCCTTCCCTGAAGAAGTCTGACTGTGGTATTGCCGTCGAGGGTTCCACTGAGGCTGCTCAGGCTGCCGCTGATATCGTCTTCCTTGCCCCCGGTCTGTCCACCATCGTCTTGGCCATTAAGACTTCTCGCCAGATTTTCCAGCGTATGAAGGCTTACATCCAGTACCGTATCGCTCTCTGTCTCCACTTGGAAGTCTACCTTGTCACCTCCATGATCATCCTCAACGAGACTATCCGCGCTGAGCTCATCGTCTTCCTTGCTCTCTTCGCTGATTTGGCCACCGTCGCTGTCGCTTACGACAACGCCCACTCTGAGCAACGTCCCGTCGAATGGCAACTCCCCAAGATCTGGTTCATCTCCGTCATCCTTGGTCTCCTCCTCGCTCTCGGTACCTGGATCGTCCGTGGTACTCTCTTCATCCCCAGCGGAGGTATCATCCAGAACTTCGGTGCTATCCAGCCCATTCTGTTCCTCGAGGTTGCTCTTACTGAGAACTGGCTCATCTTCGTTACTCGTGGTGGCAAGACTTTCCCCTCATTCCAGCTCATCATCGCCATTCTCGGTGTCGACGCTCTCGCGACCATCTTCACCCTCTTCGGCTGGATGTCTGGTGCTCCTTACCAAACCAACCCCCCTACCATCAACAGCAGGTTCCGTGACGACGGATGGGTCGACATTGTCACCGTTGTCGTTGTCTGGGCTTACTCCATTGGTGTCACCATCATCATTGCTATCGTCTACTACCTGCTTAACCGCATCGCATGGCTCGACACTCTCGGCCGCAAGGACCGCAGCCGCAAGAACCCTGCTATTGAGAACATGATTGCTGCCCTCAGCAAGCTGTCCCTCGAGCACGGTAAGGACAAGCACGGCACAACCCGCTACGTCCTTGCTCCCCGCGCTGTTGAGGAGGAGGATGATGAGTAAATTAGGGTCGTCGTCCAGTTATGACGCGATGTGTATTTGGATATTTGTACGGGATTGATGAACCCACCTGAAAGCAAGGTTAATTTTTCATCACGTCTTGCTAGTCTTCTCATGTATACCAAGAAGCATAATTTCATTGTCTCAATTAATACCCCAATCGAAAATATTGCTGTGAACATGTCCTTGCTGCTTCAAAACCTTTGTCTCAATTAACTCACATCTACACATTGCATTCTACTTGTCTAGACTTCAAAACTGAACTATAATGGTTCCACTAATCGTCTGTTGTTCAAACCTTAGGGTTGCTATTCCACAGAACCCTAGCACATCGGAAAGATTCACGGCCTTGCCAACATTTGCCGCTAGTCACCCGTCACTCGCCTTCCTGGCTTATGTCCATCCACACAACATTGATAAGAAAGATACCTGGGCACAAAGCATGCAAGCCACCTACGACCTCCGTGGAGCAACCACAAGGGCATGCGGGGTTGTTTGTGGTAGCTGCTGTACTCGCGACCAAGCGGGGTAAAGACAGCTGCACGCCATCGCGTCGTCCCTAATGCAACGGCTGGATAGGCTCATGCAAGCTATCGCCAAACATGACATACTTGTGCTGCGAGGTTGGCTGCGTGACGCTTAGTCGGATTGGGGCATGTACGATGAAGTCAATTGATCAAATCCATTGGCTTGCGCTAATTGGTATCCAGTACTGGCAGATGAAGATGTGCTCACTTCTCGTATCGTATTCCAATTGTGCTATGTAAAGATCACTACGGTGGCACCGAAAGACTAATTGCAATGTCTGGCCATTGAGCGTATTCAGTATAACGTATTCGCATCCTGTCGTTATATTGGGTGGCCTTATAGCGTGCCGAGCCTCCGTGACGGTTGGCACTAAACCTTTAGTTCTCCATCTCGTCGCATCGCGGCTGGGCGGTGACATGGAGTGTTGCGCGCCGTGGGTCGTAGTGGTGATGATGCTGATGATCGCGTGGTGACGACGCTTGTCGCATCTTCCTTCGCGTCTTGTCTTGTCTTGATGAGGGCCCTGTCTGCTTGATACAAAGTGACGATGAAAGAATGCTTGCGTATTGCTTGTGTTGCCCTTGCTTTGCGACGAGCCAAGGCGCGGAGTGTTTCGCCTTTAGCGAACGGCAGTGACTACTTAGATCGAGTTTTCGTCGTGTATTGACACAAGTTTCAATAAAAGCGCCCGCACATCGTTCCCCCGACGCGAACACGGAACAAGTAAAACTCAAAACAATAATACCCGCGGCGCAAAGAGCGACTGTTCATCACGATGCATGACGTTTGATCGTCCTCCGGACGTTCTCATACATCGCAAGCCGTGCGCTGGCTCCTTTGGGACTTTTTAGCCGCAACCTTTTGCGTCGCAGGCGCAATGTCGATCCAACGGAGTGATGAACGAGTATGTGTCCGCGGACGGCTGGGGTGTAGTCTGGGCAAGATAATCGCGTGTTTCTGGGGTCTGTGTTGTGTGATCATCCCGCCTTCGATGTCATCACGCCGATGTGCTTGCTGCACGGGGGCTCAGATAAGCGATGGCTGGGGCTGGGCTGGGTATGCAAGCATCACAACTTGGTGCAAGCATGCGAGCTTAGGCAGCCTTATCGTAACTGCACGTGTTTCAGCTTCCGTGTGGGTTTAAGACGTCATGAGATTATGTGGTGTTGTTGTCGGCGCGGTTGGATAACGCCGAGACGGGCCGTTAGAGATGTTACTTTGCTTCTTAGGGGATGACGTGGACGGTTGCAGTGGTGTTGTACATCTTTGTAGTTTAGAGATTTACGCAAGTCTTGGTAACTTCGATGCAGCAAGGTAGGTATATGAGTGATGTGGACTAACGCGTCTTCCTTTACGCGATACAATGACTACTAATTGCGATCATTGCACCTCGGTTCCTCCACGTGATGATTTGCTAGAAACGCGGATCCTGAAGGTATATACCAATCAGTATCTCTCAAGTTGTTGCTACAGAACTCAGCAGAGGCTTCGAGAATACATATTATGCGACTCTATGTCCATGTATCTAGAAACGTAAGAGCTGTCTGTCCGGCCAATCGCTTCTCAAATGTGATGCCGAAATCCTTCGTTCGCTTTCAAGTAACATCAGTTTCGATTCCAAGCTCCTGCTTCTTTCAACAACCCCAAATTCCAATCTTCCATGACGTACCCTACGAATCCTGTGAGCCTGCAGGCCAAAAGCAAACGTCCGGCCACTTTATTCGGAGTGTGGTACGAGGCGTTGTAGTTGTTGAAGTACACTTGACTCAGTATCAGAAGAGCAATAATAACTGTGAAGAGTCAAGATACCTCTCTATATTCGTTCTCATCAACGAGTTATGTTTGGTTATCGAAAGTCCTTCATACATTCCTGTGGCTATTGTGCCCAGCGACCACAACTCGAACCGATGCGATGGAGACAACAACTAAATGACTATTGTAGAGTAGACACCGCGGACCAATGGATCTGTGGTCAGGAGTGACTCGAACGCACTGGCTGGATATGCACGCAACATGTGCGCAAGACGACCGTTTTCTACCATCATACCGACAAACAGAGACAACGTATCCTTGTTAGAGGCACGCTCTCAAGAGGTTGTTCCATCGAGTGTCACTGGTGCTCGGCCAGGTATGGATATGACACGAGGTTCTGACTTGTACGGCTTCTCTGAGGTTCGTTTGTTGGAGATATCACTTGGGTCTGTCCAAGACACACTCCCAGGAAGGTCGAACACAGATGCTTGCTTCTGCATCATACCGTGCCTGAATCTCGATACTCACTCGAACTGTAATCCTTACACTCAGTCCATTTTTCGTCATCGTTCCTCGTGTTCAGAGGCTAAGGTATAACACGGAAGATGATTCCATAGTTGGCTTGTCTTTGTTGATCAAGAATTACCTTAAACCCTACTAGAGGAGGAGTTCAAGTAGAAATGTTGAGATAAAAGGTTTCTCATCTCCATGAGCTTAGCAAGTCGTTTAAAATCTCGATTCACTGCGTTCGGGCTGTGAAGCGCCTGTGAGCTCTGGATTTATAGCAGTTATGCAAGCGTGTTTCATCGAACTGGGTTCTTGAATGGATACAGTACTTGTCACTTCGTGAGAACGCAAATATTCTGGCAGATCTTTCTACAAGCAACAAAGGCATGTAACACGATACGCAGGCCTACCTTGCGGATGATAAGCACAAACAGGAACGTATCGAGGACTTCTCCCGACTTTGATACACTGACCTCAGAAGACTAGTAGCCTAATATGGAGCCCTCTGTTGTCGAAAGAGAATGGTGCAACAACCCCCACTAGTCAGTGATATCTAATTGCATCTTTGAGAGTCTTTAGGGTGACTAGTAAGGAGATGCACGTCCGAAAACATCTAAAGTTTGTCATTTGAAGGAAGCTATAAGGTGAGAAACGATTGGTCATGATTGCTTCTGAGGTACCCTTCTTGCGATATACCGAACGCCTTGATGCCTCCTTTCCTGTAGAGTAGTGACAAAATGACATCCAGAAAATTTATGAGACAGTATGCAGTATTCTCTGCATTTGCCGCATTGTGGTTGGCTGCCCATTCTGGTCAATTGGCGAAGCTCTTCCCGCGAACGTAGATCAGCCTTTTTGCGCCACGCAAAAATCTCATGTCAATAATCATTCCGATTGAGACATTTTCTACCAAAGCCTCTAGAACGCCAGTTTCTTACCATGTAGAGTTCTAATACGTCGAGAATTTAGGCTCAATAACTTCTTGAACAGTCCAGCCTCGTGTGAACCACCAGGCACCTACAGATTGTTCAAGGTCCTGATCATCTTCCATAACAGCTTAGTACACTATAGCTTCCTGTTACCAGTAAAACATGGAGTTAACAGAATCTGACAGCTCGTCATTCCTGTACTATCAATGTAGTGAGTATTGCACTAAACGTAGTCAGATTCATCGCGTTGGGCCTGTTTGCATAGAAGAAATATTTTCCACCGTTCAGCCTTATCAATGTCAGGCTGAGATGTAATCTTACTGAACATGATCTCCTTGGGCCCAGGTGTGAGACAGAAAGCGTATGGTAGTTTGTGGGGTTCAACAAATTCCTCAAGCTATAGTGTAACAACGTTGACGAGTCCATAGTCCAATAGTCAAGAGCGCGAGTAATGACTTGGACAGAGCTACGTTTGGCGAAATATAGGGTAGAGGCGACGGCGTCAACTGGCATAAGCTTGGCAGCTGTGCCTCTAAACCTGGACGTTGAGGGTCAATATATGGGCAGATAAGGATATCGATGAAAGTCATCAGATAAGAGGTGGGGATTGGAGTTGATTGTGGTCCGTACCGACGATGACTGAGCTCATTCTCCCCCACGGCCCCTACGGAGTACCTCGTTTTCCATGAGATATACTCCACCAACACTACACCCTAAGATTAAGCTGACGTTGTGTATTGCACTATTTTGGTCCAAGATGCAGCACATACGTTCAGGGTGTAATAAACTTGGGGCATAATTCATCGAGAACTTACTTCTTTGTATTCTATGTTCAGCGACAAGGAGGCGAAGAAGCGCATAAGTACGACCGACTACCACAAGAGAAGCAACAACAAGACTCTAAATGACGGCGAAGTTGTCTTCAACAGTCGTCGCTCTTCCATACAAGCAATTTGTTAGGGTTGACTTCCAGTTTGAGGTAGTAATGAGCGATCTAGGTATCGCAGGTGCAATAAATTATAGCCAGAGAAGTTCAATGAGGTACCAGTCGAGAGAGCGAGGGTATAGGGGAAGGACAAGTAGTGAATAGATAGATCAGCTAGGTAGATAACCAGAGACAGATTGGAGTCTGTGATGACCGGAAAGGAGAAATAGATACGACATGTAATCTTTTGCCCTTGACAATGTCAGCAGGTACGGCAGTGCAAATAGAAACTTCTTTAACCTCTTGTACTAAACAGACGTATCAAGCACTACTGTTCGACTGCTTTGGTTTCACATCCCCTCTCGCCTTCGCAGGAAGCAGCTTCAGAAGTCCAAACAAGCCAAATGCCAAAATGACTTGGCAAAGCCAGAAAAGTTGACCACCCAATATACGATACTTGACGCCGATGGCATAGACACTAGTTGCAAGAGCCGGAGCCACGGACCGAATGCCACTTTGAGCAGCAAGTGCGACAGCGTTAAGCGTCCCAAGAGTCTCGTGTGAGGGCGAAATGTCGTTAAGTGCGAGTTGAACACAAGCTGATGTATAGTTAGTGTACGTAGCCCATCAGCATAGGAACAGATACTCACTGAATGCCATCGAAACCCCACTTGCGAGAACTATGACGGGTGGTCCGGTAGCCCAGAAAACGGTAGTATGCCCGTACCGAAGTAGAACATTGTATACCGGACCGACGACAAAGAGAACAGGCCAGGCTGATGCACAAAGCCAGAGCACACGACCGGTACCTATCCGCTTGTGCAGTAAAGGGAATGCAATAAGCAGCCAGGCTGCCTGAGAAGCTCCATTTAGTGCTGTACACGCAGCAATAAGCTCTGTTGTAAAGCCAAGACCGCCCATGCTGATAGGTGTGTACTGGGCAACTGGAAAGACAGCCGTGAAGGTGAATGCCATGAGCATCACGTAGTTATATACTACAAGTACTCGCATAACGCCAGGATATTTGACAAGCTCCCATGTAGACATGTTAGACTTTGCGGTCTTCTTCCTATCGCCGTGGATATGCAAAGTTTCTTTGACAAACAGCATAGTTGTAATCGCTGCAGAAAGGGCAATAACTGATACGACGATGTTGGGTAGTGAGTAAGGGTAATCATGCCAGAATTGCGTCTTGCCGAAGGTCGATGTGAACTTGTCCGCTGGGCTTTCGAGTGCACCACCTGTAGATTTGCGTTTAGTCTACCGTCAACTCCGAGTAGTTATATAATGACGTACCAATCAGCGGGCCAACAAAAATCCCCATATTGCTAGCGAAAGCGAAGAAACTGAAGGCTCGTGCTTGAGTATGCTTGGTACTGTTCTCGGAGAGCATAGCTCGGACAGTGACGATTGTTCCAGCAAAAACCCCACCCAGGCACCTGAATAGCGCCATCTGCCACAAAGTTTTGCTTAGACCAAAGAGAACCGTGGCGACAGTCAACCCCAACAATGAGATGACTAGCACGGGTTTTCTTCCATATCGATCAGAGGCCTGGAGACTATGTCAGCAATAATCCTTTGCCCATAGCAAGACTAAGGTCACATACCTTTCCCCAGAGAATCATGACACACATCTGCGTGGCACTGAACAGACTTTCGATCAATCCCGAGTAAAACCCAACATCCTCTTTATCCACACCTCCTACCCTCTCAATCATGAAGTTGATGTAAGGAAAGATGGAGAAGAAGGAAATAGGCGCCGCGCAAACGGCATAACACAGAAGAAAGATCTGCGCCTTGGGTAGTGGTTTGTTCTTGTCGTTATCGTCATCTTCAAGATAATCTTGCTGCTCTGAAGGATCGACGGACTCATCTATGGGTGTGGGATCTACGTGGGTCAAGAGAGGCGTGGTCTCATCGTTCAATTTAGCGGATGGGGAAGCATCGACATTGGTAGATGATGTGGGCATTGCGAAGACTGATGCCAAGTAGAGGTGGGTTTAGATGCAACAGTTCCGTAATTGATTGGAGTTCGGATGAAATCGTGTCGATAGATTCAGCGGCGTGACGTAGAAGACAAAAAGCATAGGAGTAAGGCAGCGGTACGACGTAACGGGGGAAAGCCTACACGGATACCTGAGTCATATTATGACATGCCATACGTGAGATTATAGGTTGCAGGTAAGCAATTTGTAGAGGAACGCGTCGCTTGTTGCCTTTCCGATTGCCGGTGCTCAATTTCCGCGCTAGCAGGGGTATCCAACCACCTGTCTCCAGGTCTGTACGCCTTTACTTCAGTCGAAGTGCAGACACAAATCAGACGCGTCTCGATTATGGCTGAACTGTTTATTTGTATGTATGCAAATTTGTTCTGAGATGGACACGTGCTCACGAATGGATAGTCACCGAGACCGACTTCACGTTATCACATTATCACATTATCATCATTGGTGACCACAAGTTGTAAGGGATATGAAAGTGTCCATAGGCTCTAAGCTACAATCTTAAGATCCTTACTACACCTTCATGTGAGCTCAAGCTCCTCCATAACTCAAACACCCAACCATTGGCCCGCTGTGCTATTTTGTGGACAATCGACATGTGTAAAACCCCGGGATAACAAGGCGCCAATACAAGGATGCCCCCGCTACTAGGCTTGTCATGATTTCGAGAACCGTACGCAGGAACACGCTAGGAAGAAAACCGTCAGTCGATGAATCGCTCGGACGCATGACTGCCAGTACCTTAGAAGCACTTGCGGTGGACGATGGAGGGACCGCTCTCATCGTACTCCTGCTTTGAGATCCACATCTGCTGGAAGGTGGAGAGGGAAGCAAGAATGGAACCACCGATCCAGACGGAGTACTTGCGCTCCGGGGGAGCGATGATCTTGACCTTCATCGAGGATGGGGCGAGGGCGGTGATTTCCTTCTGCATACGGTCGGAGATACCGGGGTACATGGTGGTACCACCAGACTAGTTGCTGTTAGCTGTGTGCTTTGTAGGATTGTAGCATGTAACATACCATGACAATGTTGCCGTACAGGTCTTTCCTGACGTCGACATCGCACTTCATGATGGAGTTGAAAGTGGTGACGTGGATACCACCGCTCTCAAGACCCAAGACGGAAGGCTGGAAGAGAGCCTCAGGAGCACGGAAACGCTCGTTGCCAATGGTGATGACTTGACCGTCAGGAAGCTCGTAGGACTTCTCCAAGCTGGAGGACTGGCTGGCGGTCTGGATCTCCTGCTCGAAGTCGAGAGCGACGTAGCAGAGCTTCTCCTTGATGTCACGGACGATTTCTCGCTCGGCAGTGGTGGAGAAGGTGTAACCGCGCTCAGCCAAGATCTTCATGAGGTAGTCAGTCAGATCACGACCAGCCATGTCGACACGGGAAATGGCGTGGGGAAGAGCGAAACCCTCGTAAATGGGGACAACGTGAGTGACACCGTCACCGGAGTCAAGAACGATACCGGTGGTACGTCCGGAGGCGTACAGGGACAGGACGGCCTGAATGGAGACGTAGAAAGCGGGAGCGTTGAAGGTCTCGAAAACAATCTGTGTCATCTTCTCACGGTTGGACTTGGGGTTGATGGGAGCCTCGGTGAGCAGGACGGGGTGCTCCTCGGGGGCAACACGCAGCTCGTTGTAGAAAGTGTGATGCCAGATCTTCTCCATGTCGTCCCAGTTGGTAACGACACCGTGCTCAATGGGGTATCGCAGGGTCAGGATACCACGCTTCGACTGTGCCTCATCACCGACATATGAGTCCTTCTGGCCCATACCAATCATGATACTGTGTGTTGTTAGATGGCGGATTGCGTGGGAATTACGGGAGGTTCATCGTACCCATGGTGACGCGGTCGGCCGACGATGGAAGCTGCGAGCTGTCAGAAAGTGCTCTCGAATCGCGCTTGATGCAGCCTTGGCTGATAAGGCGGAGATGGAGGTACTTACGGAAGACTGCTCGGGGCGCATCGTCACCGGCGAAACCGGCCTTGCACATACCCGAACTGTCAACTGTCAGCTCAAGCTCGTTTCATCTCTGCCCCCTCGCGCGCTGCTGTGGACGGGTTCGTCGCGGCTCGGATAAGGCGAGGGCGCGGATAGCCCCTCCACAGCAGGGATGGCGGTGTTGGGCTTCGGCGGTGCCAACTCACCCATTGTCGATGACGAGGGCTGCGACTTCCTCTGTAGTAGGCAATAGAGGTTAGCAGAGCTCATTGAGATAGAGAGTAGGGTGGACGGCGATGGTTAGGACACGGGGCGGTAGGGGTGGAGCTTGCTTACCCTCCATGTTGATTGATTAGGGTGAGATTAGAGTAGACGTGGAGTTGTAGAAGGGTGTCTGTGTAGAGTCGCTGGAGCAATTGAGCGTCAGTGTTTAAGCTCAGAGATGCAGCTAGCGGTGAAAAAGTAAAAAGGGTACGGAGGTGTTCGGGGAGCTTACAAGTTCGGCGGCGGTGTTGAGGTTGAGGTTTCTGGTGCGCAGAGGCAAGAACTGGGTGTGCTAAATAAGCGGGTCGGCCTTGCCCAGATTTAGCGGGGTGGCAGGAGCGCAGGCGCGAAGGAGGCTTTGCACGAACGGGCGGCTCCTAAAGGGGATTGTGTATAATTTCAGCGTTTGGGCAGTTGGCTCACGACGATCACAGCATTGGCTATCTTATATCTGTTGGCGGAATTGTGCAGCCTAGAGTCATCGTCTTCTGCCCTGGTGGTACGCACTTGGAGAGTACGCAAGCTCCCCGCCACAGCATGAAGGAAGCTGCTGTCGACGCACGTCAACTCTACCAGACCGCCAGGCAGCGGTGTTAAATCCTTGGCGTATAGCAATCATAGACACTCCACTAGGACCTACGTGTTCTCGACGGCGCGCTGTGAATGCATAAGTCGGGAGCAAGCACAAGTCAGTCCCCAGCCATCCGCGGCTGCTCACCGCCAACTCGCCATATCCCCGCCCATTCCGAATACGACGGGTGGTTGGTCACGTGTGCGGAGGGGCAGTCAACGTGCACCTAGCCAAACGAGCATTTGTAGCATCAACTCAAGTCTCGATGCTAGCATGTCGTGATTATGTCATTTCAGGTCAACATCGAGAATTCACACAAACACGCCGTTTCCATTGTGTTTGTCACGTTGACACCATGTGATTGATGGTGTTGACAGCTGCGTTGCTGTGTTGGGCAGCATGTCCCATGGAAGGCCCGCGAAGCTGCTGGTCCCCTCGCCAGGCGTCGGCGTCATAAGGCCCGCCAAAATTATTCAATGTCTACACACCCCGCAGCCGTTTTCCTTCTTCACACAAGAAACCGCACATCAAACACATATCCGACAACATGAACGATCCAGGACTAAACAACCTCCTCAAATGGGGTATTCAAAACTCCGAGGCCTCGCGCACCGATGTCGCCGCCGCCGACCAACCGCCGCGACAACTCGACGCTGAGGCGCTGCAACGGCTCATGACTGGAATGTCAGGTCCCTCGGATGCGCAATTGATGCAAGAAAGTATGCAAGTCATTCAAAACGAGGAGGCAGAACTGGAGCACCGGGTAACCGCATTCGACAACTTTGAGCAACTCATCGAGAACCTCGACAACGCGAACAACATCGAGAGCCTGGGACTGTGGACGCCTCTCGTGGAACAACTGGAGAACAAAGACGCTGAACTCCGACGCTATGCTGCATGGTGTTGCGGTACTGCCGTCCAGAACAACATCAGAACACAAGAACGGGTAAGTAGTCTTCAATCCTGCGCGCCTATGGGCCATGCTAACAGGTCCCAGCTCCTTGTAGTCGGCGCTATCCCTACCCTCGTTCGTATGGCAACCTCAGATGCCGAGAATAAGGTCCGCAAGAAGGCCATCTTCGCCCTTTCGTCATCCGTTCGCAACTTCCAGGCCGCGCTCGATGCCGCCGTTGAGCACATGCCTGCCGAGTTCAAGCCCCAACAAAAGTTGGACGCTAACGACATGGAATCAGTCGACGTTTTGATCAACAAACTCCGCGAGAGTGTATAACCGCATCGGATCTGGATTGCATTGGGTTGGCGTTACGGTACTTGGAATGTCAGCATGAAACGGCGCATAGAGGGAAAAAGGTTGAACATAGGGGACGGGCGGAAGACATACCAGAGATTTGACGAAGGAACGCTTGGGCACATGATCCCATAGTTCATCACGTCGAGCATTGCATAGACTAAAGCAATACGAATTCGACGACCTCTTATATGACCCCCAGCACAAGACCAATCAGCTCGCTGAATGCTTCTCTTCCAACCATGCTCTTGTCCAATCCCATACCAACCACAACCATTCTGGTTTCCCTGTCGTCGCGCTGTTTGATAGCACTGGCAATCTGTGTCGCGAGCGTTTGTCCAAGAACATCAAGCTCCGCTATCGTACCGCCAAGTATATTTGTAGCCGTGAGATGGTGCATAGGAAGGAGGTCTGAGTTGGGATCGTCTTCGTCGCGTTCAAGGGAGGCATTCGAAGTCATCGAAGCATCGGTTGCAGAGATATCGAGAGGTACATGTACCTAGGCAGTATCAGCAAACGTCATCACAATGCATCGTATATATGAGCATACCCAATGTGCTAATCGTCCATCTTGCGTGACAGTGATGAGAATCTTGTCCGCAAAATTGACCGTCGTTGCTGTGGTTTTTATACTCTTGATCATCGAGGTGGACGTGCTGGTACGCGCTGGGTATGGGGCAGGCGTCACGGTATAGTCGTCTGAAGTGGTGGGTGCTGCCATTGCGTTTGTGTTCGTGCGGTGGTATGTCTGGTGCAGAGGGGCAGCTGCAATCGTAAAGGTATTACGATGGAGTGTGAGCTGGGTGCTTTGTGTTCGCCAGCTACCGAGAATGTATGCGTGCCAGTAATATGGTGATTCGAGTTGCTCTTGTGTGCCTCGTTGTTTGTGTTGTTGCGTCTCTGGCCAACAGCCCACTCAACTTGCGCGGGA